TATTTTGCTTAGACACGTAATAAAATACCTCGCATGGAATATTGATAGATAAGAGTGGACTTGAATGTGGGTTTGGAAAGGCTGCAACGATGTACGGAATGGCCTTGTCCGGATCACGTTCATGTAATACGATCTTCTGTAAAAAACAAATCTGATGGCAGGTTTGGTTTGGTTTAATTTTGTTTAATGTTCCATTGACTTAAGGACGTGCCTCCATGTGTGAAGTGTATGCGTGACTGCGTGTGTATGTAGGAGACAGGGTATATTGGTTTGCTGATGGCAGAACAAATTGCAAAGACTACTTTTAGCTACAACATTACAAAATTTTATGTAATCAATGCTGCAGGAATGTGGAATCACAGAGTATCATCAGGGTCGATGAGTCTAGTTGTACAAAAAATGTATTTGGTACTTTTGAACTAAAAGCATTTTTCCAAGTATAGATTTGTATAATTAATCTTCGGTCCCTTTCTGTTGTAATCTTTACAATATTTTTATTAACCTGGAAGATGTATACTTATGTATTTACTAAGAATGAATTCTTAGTAAATACTGAATACTAATTACGACACAATCGAATATTAAATCACATTGACAACATCTATCAGAGTTCGAGGCCAACTGATTCCCCGCCCCAATTAAAACGTTTGTGAACCGTGTCTTTTTGTTTCCCCTTTACCCGTGCAGGTTCGGGGATAGAATCAGTTGTTGGTTGGTCTTACGATCATGCTGTATCCGACTGCATGATCGTAAGAGAGGACAAATGTCTTCTTCCTAATATCTCCTTCGACAGTGCCTCACTTTTGGCCTTTAGTTGAGCGTTCGCCCCTGTGAGGAAGGCTTTAGGTTATGTTTCCTGGCCGAGACATACCAGAGTCTGTTAAATGGTAGTTTCTTATCCTGCTTTACTTTCAGGAGTGGGTCGACTGGCTTGCCCGTTGTCAGTCAAATGTGACCGGGTGTGAGGTCTCCTGCTGGGTGTCTTCGGCAGTATGTTTCAGTGAGGTAGCACTATAAAGTCGGCATTAGTTTCGCGCTATTACAGGAAGAAAAAACACGAACATATCGCAGACTCCCCCCAAAACATCACGCATACACTACACGCATGCATCTTGCACACAGTAGAGGCCGTCCTTAAATGACCACAGCTATTGATAGGACGTTAAACAATACTAAACCAAAATTTCTCCTGCTTCATGTTCATTATTTAGTGAAACTGGTTCACCGATTGTCAGTATTATGTGAACGGATGGAGTGCTGTCTTCGAAGCTGTTTGCATTATATTTCAGCGAGGTAGCATTAACAAGTCAGCATTAGACCCTCACTATCACAAGGAGGCAAATACATCATCATACCACTTCCAACAGACATACACAATCAATCAATTACTTTGTTTAGAAATATATGAAATTATGTCACTTATATTTATATTTTTGTCACAATTCTGGTATTTTCAAACGGTTGCTTCAGTATAATTCATTTATTTAAGATCATTATTTTGGAGTATCAAATTGTAATATCAACAATCAAGAAATTAAGAAAGCGAATTCCATGGAAAGGAGTCAAATAATATCTTCAATCGTAAACAAAATGTGTTGAATGCATCAAATAAGTTAAGGCAATTCCTTTGCATATTTGTTTTTCATAGTAATTAAAGTTACACAATATATCAACAACTCGGAAGGTATTAACTCCACGCTGATTTGGTTTAGTGTGGTTTGGTTAATCACCAGAGGACGTGTGTCAGAGTGTGTAGGTAACCGTGTGTGCCGGAGGAGGTATGCTGGTGTAATCGCCTCCTTGTGATAATGCGCAACCTGACACGTAAAATTGATTTATTCATATCGCTTTATCCCAATAGATGATATCGCGACCATCCACGAGTTACTCCCCTTCGAAGAGTTCTTGCCGGAAAATGCACAAGTCTCGCGAGAGAATGCGAGGATACGGGGGCAAAACAATCTGCCTGTGTAGACAATATGCCCCACCTTCACTGTATTGAACCAACAAAAATAACTCGCAAGAATAGAGGTCACATCAAATCCATTTAATTATGACATTCCAATAAATTTGTTTGCCCAAAACAAGCCTTCTGACGTTTCATTTACATAAAGGTAACACACGATACTCTGTACCGCCGCTGACTGTCCGTCACGACTGTGACGCTTTAGTTCGTCCTCTTTTTCAATATCTGGCCAATTTAACATGTCTGCTTGCTATCAAAGGTGAACTAGATCCCCCTTTTTCTTATTTGAAGTAGGTGATACCTTTTGACTTTAAAATATTACCCAATTCATTACATGGAAGTTCGTGGAAATTCGTATCTGAGTGTTTTGGCGCTGCCATGTTGAATAGATATCCGTTGCCCCAGCGAGTACAGTTAAATCGCCTACTATTTGAAGAGTTCCACTGGTCGCGATACCATCTATTGCATGTGTAACCGTGAGCAGGTGCAGTTTGCTGCTGTGATCCAAACAGTTGATCATTAGTCATACATGTAGAATTAAAAAATCATCATAGAATGTCACGGGAAAATCTTAGAAATACTTGGCTCAAAACAGCCAAAATTAGAATGCCTAGCCATGACAAATATTGTCATTTCCGCCTACAATATCTTAATCTGACCGCAACAGTGAGTATTACTCTGTCCATGTCCGTAACACACAGATACATTTCTTCTCAAGAGTATTCTAATGTTATGTACAGCAATATGTTACGCTTTTTTCATATATAGCTGAATTAAAATTATCTGTAATGAGAAAATTAAACCAGTGAAAACCAAACAACATATTTCGAAATAGGGCATTTGTTCGTGAGTTTTACTTCATAAATTGGCAATATATTCAATTTTGTAAAATGCTTGACAAGCACGTAATTGCTACCAAAACCGTCCCAATTGTGAATAAACACATTTTGATTTTTTTCTTTGTATATCACCAGTAAGTTGTATCAAGTGCAATGTAACAAAAATGAATTACTTAATGCTGGGGAAAGAAAATGTATCTGTACTTGCTGACATACGTGCTGCTACGTTTAATAGTCAAGACCATATGGCGCTGTCACACCATAACGTATAGCACCAGCGTATACATAACGTATCAAAAATATTTCAATACGCTCCCACACACTAGACACATCCAACAGCCGGGTTGAATTGAGCGTGAGGCTTTTGTATACATAACGAGCTGAACGTATACATACTGCATAACTAGCGTTTGGGATTCGTGTCACTACCTTATATGTAACTTATCAGGACGTATCACAGCGTGTGACGAGCGTATAGAACGTATACCCCGTGTATGAGTAGCGTATGCGTGGGCGTGTTTAGCGCTTACACAACGATCACGTAACGTTTTCTATAAATGTGGGTGACGATGTACCGCTGCTCATCATTCCGGAAGTAGTCACCATCCGCATGAGTTCTTGAATGATGTCTGGTCCTCGTTACGGAGTTCAACCAGCAGCTGGTCTTACATGCCAAATTGTCGTCGCCTCTCGATCCATGGTATGACCCAGAACCCCATCCGATGACCTCGTCTCCTCCTTTTACTATTGGCACGGAACTGGTAAAGTGCCAATTCGATGAGGTTCTGCTGATATTGGAGGACCTTTATTCGGTTTTCTCTTAAGATCCTTCATTTTCTCTGGGGTGAGTTGTCCGTGACATATACGCCAATAATACGCTACATGTACGCTAGAAACACATTGAATACGTTACTCATAAGTAGATTATAGTCAAGTCCAAAACGTCCATATACGTTGCAGACACGTTAGATATAGGTTAGAAGTAAATTAGAAGTACGGTAGACAGTCAGCTGACGAATCCCAAACGTATCTCAACTTATGATAAAAGTATCTATAACCTATGTCAGCGTATATCTAACGTATGTATGACGTATGTGGGCACGGCGCATACCAGCGTGCGATACCGTGCTGTTAATGTATATAACTTATGTATAACGTACCCTGAACCTATATCAGTGTATATCAACGTGTTTGAAAAACGTGTCATACGCTGGTGCTGTACGTTATAGTGTTAGTGCGCTAATACCCTTGCCCGTAATTGAGGACGTGTGCCTTCGGCATGGTATTACATTGAGATAGCACTCTCACAAGGAGGCAAGGACAACAACATACACTGTGACCTGCATAAACGCACGCAAGCACGCATACACTACACACATGGAAGCACGTCCTTATATGACCTTAGCTGTTAATAGGACGTTAAACAAAGTTAAACCAAACCAAGCCTTTTTGTCTCCATCGCAGATCATTTGACCATCAGAACACATGTAAACAGAATACACATTGATAGTTTGTAGACGTTTTACGTGTAGGTTTTTGCTGTCCTACAGGTTTAGTTTATTGAGTAAAGCATTATGCTAGCAGAAGAGGTAATTTAAGGAACTTATTATTTTTCGTAATATCCAGAAATACAAAAGGCTATGCGTCTTCTCTGTTACCATCGAAACAAATAGTAAAGTGTGACATTTTACCACTAAGTTTGTTTGAATTTTTGTTTTGCATTTGTTTTTGTCGACACTTTGTTGGTCCTAATGACCTTTCCTTTGTTGATGGGCCGTTGATCATTTAATAATGATAATAATTTCAAGTTAAAAGTTGTGTGTAACCCTATTAAGATCATCTTTTTCTCAATATCTTTTCCTTTTACATTGGAAAAATTACACAAAAAACACTTATTCCTAGGTTTTCAAGGCCTCACCTTCAAAACCATTTATGTTATATCTTGCAACCTTATTGTTTCATAGCACCTTCACATTTGCCCCCGTATTGAACGTTCTGTCCCCGACCTGGGACATTCAAATGTTAGTTTCTTACTTGTAATCAACGCCCCATACATGCGTTTCAATTCTCCATCTAATTATATAAAACGTATTTCCAAAATACATTACAAATGATCGACCAAAAGACTCCTTGATTTTGTAAATGGAAATAAAAAGAAAAACGTTTATTAACTTTCACATGTAGATATAGTCACGTTTTTATAATGCATTATGCGGTCAATGTTTTGTCAACTTAAAAAGACATATTTTATTAATTGTTCATCAAATTGGCGTTTTCATCGTTGTCGATGTCCTTTTATATATGTAAGGGTCGTAAACGAGCTTCGTATCGAAATCTAAAAGAAAATATTAAATAAAAGTCAGAGTAAAATCTATGACGTCGTCTTATAGTTACTTGTAAAATACAATGGGTTAAATTCCACTTCATTACAGCAAGACTATATACAAATATTAAAATCATTCATGATATACCACTTTCGACATTGTTAATACACTTTGTCTGAACATGTCATTACTGTATCATTCATAGAGGCTTATATGTTGCATTATTGTTCGTATTCATCAGTCAACGGTTGCGTCTTTTCTGAACAAAGTAGCAGGACAGTTCAACCAGTAGTTCAAACACCTCGCCTATGCTTAGGGCAGACGCTCCAAGGAACAGGCCAAGTGATCCACCGATATCGGACAGCAAGTTCATTAGCTGAAATATATATACATATTGATTCCATAAAAAGTAATAATGTATACAGCAATTTAAAATTACTATCACGGAGGTACTTCAAGACATATATATTTCAGAGACAACCTACTTCATATTCAGATCGCACATACTGATTGTTCTTATGTTGCAAATTGTTTTCCCCTAATTATATATGAAAGGGGCGTTTTGATGCACTTCCAACTGTATAAAATCTTAATATTTAGATGGGATAACCTTGTTATAATTAAACGTTTCCGCCGGCTACTATTAACGTTTAATAAAAACAGTTTTGATTTAGCCAGTGTCATATCAGCGAATTGTGACGTCAACATTTTAGGAAACCTGCGTAATAGCACAAAAAGCTCCTTTGTTCGCCGTAGAAAAAGGTTTTACGGTGAAAAAGAACTCAATATTTTACTGAACTAGCAGGTTTTGAAAATGGAAACAAGAAGCAATGGTCATTGTCAAATGTAACACTACTAGAATCCTGACGTTTTCTCATTGTTAGTGGCGCAGAGAAAACCTCGCTCGCCTGTCACCAGGACGGCAGGGGTTCTATTCCTGGATCGGACATGTAAAGTTATTGGATCTCGTGCCCGACCACGTGGGATTTCTAAGATTACTCTGATTTCCTCCCATATTACCACGCTCCGGAACTTCCATCCCGACAGACAAGAATTAGTAATATAAGTTAGAAAGATATGTTACAAAATTATTGTAAAATAAACAGAGATTATATTAGTCTAATGATGTGTGTGAATGTTAAAGACATATATTTTTCAACTGCATTGACGTTATGAGAGGATCTATAACTCGACAAGCAATCTGTTTCTGTGACAAATGCGACAAAGAGAAACAATATAACTGTGCGGACAACAGCTGCGATGGCCTCGCGGCCATTGTGATAGAATATTCCCGGCAAAAACGAATACACCAATATGTTCACATCCACAATCACAACATCTAAGCTCTAAGCTTTCATAAATCTTGTACAGACAGTATAAATGTATCCTACCGCCGGGCTAGAAACTATGGTGGTAATTGCTATCCAAACGGAGCACAACCCATACATTGATTTAAGTCTGCTCCTGTACGGAGAGACAAATACAGACAACAGCCAGTCATTAGCAAGCACGATTCTGTTACAAAATGTTACCATGTTCAAATATAGCTCACCAACCGTACTACAAAGTGTCGAGGAAAATAATTAAATCAATTCAAGGCAAGTGTGAATCCTGCTAGCAAGATGTGCGGTTTCTAACAACGTCTTGATTAAAGAAAACGAATTGCAATTTCCTAAGTGTGGCGTCCACTTGTTGTTTGGAGAACAAAAACTACAAGTATCCATGTCGACGGTGAATTTAAACAAAACCATAAATTCTAATTTTATCAAAGTGTTTTGATATCTTACATTTAATCAACAGAATTTAAGGACTTCTAAGATATCGTGATACCTCACAATATCGCGTAGCGTGTAAAGAGTTACGTATGCACTTTATGTTAAATCCCGGGCGACCGTTAAACCTGGCGTGTTTGGCAGTACTTAGTGGTTTAAATGTGTTTCTCCTCTACACGTCTCACATTCTATAAATGAAAATTTCGCGTACTCTCGTTAAATCAAACATCGTAGTCATTTGAAATGAATACTAATGTATTCAATTTAGCAAAGGGTCTGATGTAACGAGTTTCCATTGACTTATCCTCATGTCACACAGTCGTATGACTGACTACACGCTGTAAAATAATTACATGCGCGGGCGATAATTGCATATACAAAGTAGCTGCATATGGAAATTACATGTTCAAATGACTGCTATGATGGAGTAAAATGTATATATATATATAACAGTGTATCACAAATTTTGAATAAAACTTTGTAACGAAGAGAAAATGACAGGAATTAAGGAAACGATTTAGTAAGAAATAGTAAGATTAACCGTATCACATGTGCTAGCAGCCATTACGTCTCGAAGGACAATGTTAAGGTCGTCAACGGTCAGCGTAAATATGTTTTATAATCATGATAGACTACGTTAACGGTCAGCGTAAATATGTTTTATAATCATGATAGACTATGTTTTGGTTTTACTAGGCTATTCCGTGAACAACTACAGTTGACTGTACGGTCATTTATGCACGTGACTCCATGTGTTTAATGTATTGGTTAATGCGTGTATGTGTGCTGGATGCAGGGTATGTTGGTGTAAATGCTCCGTAAAAATAGCACAGATCTGAAACCGACTTTACAGTGCAACATCACGGAAATACCATGCCGAAGGCATCCAACAAATTATTCTACCCGGTTCATTATACTGAAAACGGTTTGACAACTTTTTCGAATGATAGGAAATCACGGTTCGATGAAAATCAAAACAGGCCATTGAGTGATCTTACCCATGGTTTTGGTCTGTAAGGATTTAACGTCCTCTCAATGGCAACGTTCATACGACGACATTTGATATTGGTTAAGAATGTAAATGAAAACAATCAAGGACCTGTCAATAGGATGTTGAAAATGGGTTGTAGAGAATAAGCAACAGCGACTAGTATGCTACTTCAGCACAAATGGAACGTTAATAATGGCGTCATTATCATCGTAGCACGTCATTTATATTTGTATTGTTGCAACCTATAATGTCATATACCGTAACTTCTTGTGTATTACCTACAGGCTATACGTTTTTTAACTTCAACAATGCCCTCTCGGACAATTCGATGAGGCAGCAATATGACAAACTGTCATGATGCTATACAATTGCGGGCTGTGCCATATCTTTAGAATCAAAAATCATTTACATCTTCCATTGAGAAAAAAGAACAAAAATAAAGAGCAAAGTCGTAAAAGTTTGAATGTTTTATCATCGAACGTATGCATGAAAAGTGTATTCGAATGGCCGGCTCCGTCTTAGAACGTTTATAAGTATAATGTGACTGGAAGGGATACTGTGTTGAATGCCTTCGGCTTGAAATTTCAGTCAGATAACATTCTAATGTCTGTGCTGTTGCAAGAAGACAAACACACCAAACGATCACCTGTCGAAGACATATTCTCACGCACGCATGTATTACTCGCGTTGAGGCATGTCTTAAAATTATCTTGTTAAACCCAATAAAATGAATTTCAAAAGGATCTGCTTCGTCGTGTAATTCATATTGTGTGCAGGAGAAATAGATGTGAGCAAACGGTGACACCGTAGCAATTTATAAAGAAACAAGTTAGGCGTCAAAGTTCACCGTTAATATATGATTTTACGAACAATTCAATTGATCAAAACACATGTGTAACCAATACATTGATAAACCATCCTATATACTACCCTTTTAACGCGTTCAGCACAATTCCTAATGAAGAGTAATGTCATAATTTAATTAATCTCCAAATTATATAACAGACAAGTTATCGGCTTAATGTAGTTTAGTTGTACTTTAACTAAACGAATGCTCCCAAGTTTTATAGGTGTCAATACCTATTGACTGGGTCAGTCCATAAAATGTTCAATATCTGGATCAATCCCAACGGCTAATACGTTCAGACGTCTGAAATAGCGTTTTGGCAATTTGCCATCACAAAGTATTTTTATTTCATCATAAAAGATGAAAGTAACCTTCTATAATTGCCGCAGGAGGCTAATAAAATGACCTTTATGTTGCCAAAAACACGTTTCCCATACAACCAACAGCTAGCCTACATGAGCTAACTAGTGCACGAGTTTCGCGAAGCCATTCGTAATCAAACAGGATATCACTTATTTAAAGATCACACTTCTTATTTAAAGCTAAACTGATGATGATATTAAATATATTTTGTAAATAACATAATGCGTTCTCTAACATTTTTTATGAGTGTTAAAACGGTATTTCAATAGACCAAAATATATTCCAGTCAGAGCTAACAAGACACCCGTTACCATATGACCCTGGCTGTTGAGAGGATATTAAACCCGAAACAATCAAACAAAGTATCACATCTCTTTGGTCTGAATTTCTATCATCATAATACTGGATTTCATATTTAGACACATTGATTATGTTGAATTGTAACTATGACGTTAATCTCAGTACAAACAAAATCTTCAGTACTTGCTATAAGAGACGCAGCAGACCTACTGAATTATAATACTAGCTTCACATCCTAATGGAGTTGGTATGTGATAGTTTATTCACGAAAGAGCACATTAAAAGAATAAGTTTTTTTAGCCAGATGCGGTCAGGTAACCAATAGTAGCCATGGCATTAGACCTTTTGGCGGGTTTATGTGACGCTGATGAAAAGTTTTGGGCCTCAACATGGCCGTTGTATTGTTCAAGCGTCTGCTATTATCAAAGTGGCTTGTAATTTCGTTACAATGCAGTTCGGTTGTTGTTGCTTATATAAACATGTCTGTCAAAATAATCCTTACCACATATACTGCCAAATATTCTCGCATGATACTGAAAAGCAGCTTCAGTAAAAAAAAAGAAGAGATATACTTCATTGGGATTACAGAGGGAAAGTGCAAAAATATTTGTTTCCGTTGATCAGTTTTAGCACTTCCCATTTGTAGCGTTATATCGATAAAGGTAATGCCCTATAGTATGATGTTAGATCTTCCCTGATAATATTACGGTAATTTCTTGCACATTGCCCTCTCCGTTATACTGTCCGTACAAATACAGATAACATGTTTAAAAGAAAAAAAGGCTGTGGATTGCTTGCCCCGATCGATAGCCCGCGAGTTATCCCCTACGTAAAAACTGTTGTACGCAATAATTTTCAGGTTCATTTATAACGACGTCAGGTACATAAAGCTCGCAACTGCGCTTATCTGGATAACTATTATGTAACAATGCAAGTAATCGATGCTTTTGATTTAGTTGAATTGTTTTACTTTATATGCCTTTGATATACCTATCGTTCCATTCACTAATCTCATGTTAACAGCCATGACGACTCTTAGTTCTCCATATCGACGTTAATAATAACAGTAATAATAATTCGAGGTTCTTATATACCGCTCCCTTTTTTAATCAAATATCCCGCAGAGGGCATTTGTCGAGGTAAAATAAACGTCTAGCCCGCAGGCGATACAAAGAAAGTTACGTTATGAACTATCTTTCCAGATCAGAATAAGAATGCAAACCAGAGCCAATCCAAGTGGTAGATACACTAACCGGGCTTGTAATGTACAATGAATATGTATATCACGTACGTGCACGTGCACCTCTTGAGAGTGAAATCTGGCTAGTCAATTCGACGAAGATTTCAAAACTAACGTGAGGAATGATATAGATTCGAATTAAAATAAAATAAAAACAAATATCATATTGAAGACATAGATTTTTCAAAACCGATCGCAATGCGCAAATAGGCTGTTTTAAAGTTCATCATTCTTTGAGTTAAGATTTTGTCCTTGTGAGGTGATGCACTTTTTAAATCGGCATTGTGAGTGAGCTGTTTTCAGTGAGGCGGCAGTGGAATTTTCTGCTCCTGTGTTTTATGGATTTTATTACAGTTTTTATCATTTCTGTGGCCTAAAAATTTGCAATGGGCATCATTGTTATCACCTTACTTTGAAGACAGAACATTATGTGTGATTTGATGGTTTACAGAATGAGAATTGGATGTTTTAATTTTAACTTGAAAATGTACAACACTTGAAAAAGCCCAAAGGTGCCAACTTTGGGGGGATCTGCCATCGAACCTCACACTCCTCCAAGTCAGTTTACATTGTTTTGGACTGTTGTTTCCATTAGTGTGATATTCCCATTCATGTGTGAACACCTGATCATGGACAACCTGTGGGGTACCCCACAGTCTATCTGTACTAATGCTTTCTTACCTGTGGACCTTACCAGTAAGGAGTACAGATCTGCTAATTCATATACAGGTAACAAACAGGCACACCTGTATTATGGAAATATTGATACTGGTAATGACAATTTTAACTTACCTGTAGGACTTCGATTCTTGTCTTGGAATGTCCGTAGCATTTACAACAAACTACCTGAATTATCCCTTCATGTCATTCATAATTCTATTGACATTACATGTATTCAAGAGACATGGTTAAACTCATCTATTCTAAATGAGGAGATTAACATACCAAATCATCGAATTGAGCGCCTCGACAGATCAAATGGTCAAAGACATGGAGGTGCTGCTATCTACTTGAGGGAAAATGTTCCTTTTGTAAGACGTTTAGATCTGGAACACAAGGATTTGGAACTTCTTTGTGTTGAATTGAAATTTGTTCACACATCACCAATTGTATTGGCTAATGTGTATAGACCTCCATCATCGGATGCTAGCTGGTTGGAGAACTTTGAACATTTTCTCGACAAATGCCGGGATTCTAACCTTGAAGTTATAATAACTGGTGATTTTAACATTGACTTTATTCAATCACAACAATGCTCCTTGATTGACATAACTTCAAGTATTAACTTTCACCAGATTGTGCGTGATCCTACACGTGTTCATGAGAACAGAACGTTGATAGACCATGTGTACGTCTCATCCCCGGAATATATACGGACACTTAAAGTTATAGAAAATGGTCTGAGTGATCATTATCCTGTATGTTTTGTAAGGAAACACAAATTTGGAGCAAAGTTTTCACATACTCCTATATCATACAGGTCATTCAAAAATTCTCATGTACAGTCGTTTTTAAAAGACCTACAACTACTACCGTGGTCTGTAATCGAATCCTTTTCGGACGTGGATGATGCCCTATATGCTTGGATGGACCTATTCTTTTCCGTCGTTGATGAACATGCACCCAAGCAACAACGGAGAGTTAAAAAGTCCACCCAACCCGAGTGGATGGATGATACTATTCTGGAAAACATTCGACTGAGAGACGATCATAAGCGTAATGGTGACATTATTAACTATCGTCTACAGCGTAATTTAGTCAGTAGACTTATCAAAGATGCGAAGTCTACATATTTTCAGAATTTGATTGAAAATAATCTTGATAATCCTAAAAATCTGTGGAGGTATATTCGGGAGGTGGCACCTAAGCATTCTGCTACATTTCCTAGTATGATTCAAGTTGATGATAAATCAGTATATGACAAGCTTGAAATTGCTGAAAATTTTAACACCTATTTTTCTTCAATTGCTAGTAAATTAAGTTCAACTTTAAGTGATGTATCTTCCTCATTTGAGACATTAAGGAATTTTGTACGGTCTAATATACCAGAAAATTGTACTTATTCAACTCCCAGAGTTACGGAGAATTTTACCTTAGATTTTCTTAGGTCATTAGATGTACACAAGGCCACTGGTCTTGATGATATCAGTTGTAAATTGTTGAAGGCAGCAAGCTCTCAAATTTCATCTTCACTGACATATATATTAAATTTGAGTGTCACCACAGGTAAATTTCCAAGTCAGTGGAAAATTTCAAAAGTTATTCCACTTCATAAAGGTGGAGCAATGACTGACATTTCTAATTATAGACCAGTGTCTATTTTACCAGTTTTATCAAAAAATTTAGAAAGACATATTCATAATAGTTTTTATAAGTATATTAATGAACATAATCTTCTTGTTTCCTCACAGTCAGGGTTCCGTAAGCATCATTCTTGCGAGACTGCCTTACTCAGTATTGTTAATAAGTGGGCAAAGGAAATTGACAAAGGAAATGTCAATGGTGTTATTTTTATAGATTTTAAAAAAGCCTTTGACATGGTAGATCATGAGGTTTTAATTCAAAAGTTAGCCATATATCAATGTGACAAATTATCTTTGAGCTGGTTTCAATCTTATCTCTCTCACCGGTTTCAAAAAGTTACAGTATCTAATCATATTTCTAAAAGTAATCAAATTACTCATGGTGTTCCACAGGGTTCCATAATAGGTCCCCTGATGTTTCTTATTTTTATCAATGATTTACCTCTTGGGCTAAAATCAGGTACAGATATGTATGCTGATGACTCGACTCTGAGTGCATCTGGAAGTTCTATTTCTATTGTACAGGATGAGTTACAAGCTGATCTGATTAAAGTCCAAGACTGGTGTAATGAGAATAAAATGATTCTAAATAGGAATAAAACGAAATGTATGGTTATTGCCACAAAACAGAAACTTAACAGAATAGATGATGCTCTAAGCCTAATATTAGATCAGGAATGTATTGAACAAGTAAAGAGTGAAAAACTTCTTGGTGTAAAAATTGACAACAGTTTATCTTGGTTAGATCACATAGCATCTGTTGTTTCAAAGATTAACAGTGGTTTGGGTTTACTTCGACGCATCCGTCAATATTTACCACTTTCAGCTAGACTTAAATTTTTTCATGCATGTATTTTTCCCCACTTCATGTACAGTAGCACAGTATGGAGCGGATGCTCTTTAAATCTTCTACAAAAACTGTCAAAAGCGCAGAAACAAGCTGCAAGATTACTGTTGGATGCTCCATTTGATACACCATCAGTAGAAATGTTTTCTTCATTAGGGTGGTTACCAATTGGCGAATATTTGAAATTCAAAAGAGGTGTTATGGTGTACAAATGTATAAATAATCTAGTTCCAGGATATCTTTCTAATCAATTTAATTTGTCTAACAACAGATATACTAGATCAGCATCCCAAAACTCTGTCAAGGTACCCAAACACCGTACCACATTTTATTCCAAACACTTTTTGGTACAAGGGAGCCAGATTTGGAATAATTTACCGGTTGAAGTACGACTCTCTTCCTCCTTGACAAAACTCAAACAAAATATGATTGGTAACATTAAGAATGCGGTTTAATTGTCTTTTATTTTTACTATTATACTTTTTAGATACAGCTTTGATTTGTTTTATTTTCGCTATATTAGCGTGTATTCTGTCAATTTTTAGCTTTTGCTACATTAGCATATATGTAAATTAGACAATTTGTCTTTTAATGAAAACCATAATGGGTTAAGCACGGAATATATTTCGTGCTTCAGTGATAATTTTATTGTAATTGTATTGAACGACCGTTTAAATTATGAAATAACTGTGATATGAATTGCTGTTTTAGTAGACCAACAATTATTTTATGTACATTTATTTGCTGTGATACTACTTTGTCTTTAAACTAAACAATTTTATTAACAGAGGACCCTGTGGAAGATTAGCTTTGCTAAACAGGTTTTGTATCCTCAATAAATAAAGTTTATTATTATTATTATTATTATTATTATTATTATTATTATTTGCCCATTTTTCCGAATTCAATTATGCCAAATTCAATACTTGTTGTTCTCAAAATCTACTTGTAATTAGTCCTGTCCAATCACATCAAAGAGTCATCCTTTTATAGTTAAAAACAACTTTGATACTAGTTTTTGTTTTATCAGACATGTCGAATGTTTTTCCCTACCTAGACAAGTATAGGCCCCTTACTCAATATACAATGTGCAACATTCCTTTGCCAACCTTAAAGATTTCCTGTCATAGAAATGGTTCAATTCAAAACAGGAGGGCCATTTGCCGATTGATCAAACGACACAATCATAAAATTCTTTAATTACATCATGGTGCATCTTTATGCTAACAATCCGAATACTGTCTTTAACTGTCTCTTTAATGTAAAGCTATCTGAAAGCTGTTGGTCTTTTTAATAAAATTTGAGTCACTATAGCCACATTCATTATTCAATTTGACGTTTGTCTTTTACCTTTAAGTTTGGTTTGATGTTTTTTTAGCATTTATTTTTGTCGACCATTTGTTGGCCCTAATGACCTATCCTGTGTTAATGGGCCGTTAAGCATTGATAATATTTTTTTACCACAAGTCATCAATACGACAGGATGTTTACCTCGTACTCGGGTTCCTCAGACAAATATTGGTAGTTGAGATCTTCGTAGTAGACATTGATCTTCAGGAAGTTCATACTAAAGAAAGGAAAGCATAGTTATTAATGCATTCATGTATTTTTCCAGATGTTTTGGGCGATTTGGAAAAAGTGTACCGGCTCGGCTGAAATTTGTTACAAGTTATATCACTGTTCATAGTATTGGGCAATTTGTTTTTATTTTGATCGTCAAACAGTAAGAAGTACTGTTTGACGATCAAAATAAAAACAAATTGCCCAATACTACCTATATGCATTCAAAAACTTCGAATGAAACTACGGGGAAAAGGAAAAGTAACTGATATGTTTAAAAAATATTAACTGAATTTGATAAAAATATAGGCCTTATTTTACCTCTTTTCTGCATGTGTAAGAGTATGCAGAGGACAGCTCCTGTAATCCAGGTCATATTTACTGCATGCACTTTCCATCAATTCATTCTACATGTAAGTATGAAACAAAAGAACACAATGTTATATTTTCATCTCGGTAAACAATGAATCGTTATCAGTAATTCTTGCCGTCAGTATATCAAGTTGATACTGGTTTGGTTTGGATATCGCAGGTTAAGTGAGCTTATGTCATGGTGTAGCGTCCGTCGTCCGTTCGTCGTCGTCCGTAAACTTTTCATTTAAACGACCTCTTCTGAAGAATGGACAGGCCTAGAGTCATGATATTTGGTGAAAGCTTTGTTTGTAAAAGCTTAACAAAGTTTAAGAATGAAAATGGGTTCGATCTACCTTAAAGATCACTTCAAACGACTTCTACTGAAGAACTGAAAGGTATAGAATCTTCATATTTGGCTGGTAGCTTTTTTGGAAAAAGAGCCCGACAAAGTTTGCGAATGAAAATGAACTTGACCTTCTTTCAAGGTCATGGGAGTGAAATATGTGAAACACTTCAATCGACTTCTGGAGAACTGAAAGGTATAGAATCTTCATATTTGGCTGATAGCTTCTTTTGGTAGAGATCAACAAATTTTGAGAACGAAAATAACCTTGACATTCTTTGAAGGTCAATTGGGTCAAAGATGTCAAACACATCGAACGACTTCTGAAGATCTAGGAGGTATATATTCTTAATATTTGGATGGTACCTTCTTTCGGTGGATCTCGACAAAGTTTGAGAACGAAAATGACCTTGACCTACTTTCAAGGTCACAGGGTTCAAATATAAACAATTTAAACGACTTCTTCTGAAGAAATGAAAGGTATATAATCCTAATATTTGGCTGGTATATTCTTTAGATTGGGGTCGACGAAATTTGAGAATGAAAACGACAATTACCTACTTTCAAGGTCACCGTTGTCAAATATGTACAAACAAAAAAAATGAAAGTATGCGAATGAAAATGACTTCGACCTACATTAAAGGTCACAGAGGTCAACAACACATCAAACGACCTCTGAAGAACTAAAACACATGGATTCATAAGATTCGGCTGGTAGCTGCTTGGGATAGAGCCAACAAAGTTTGAGAAGGAAAATGACTTCGAGCTACTTACAAGGTTACTGCGACAAATATGCCAAACACTTCAACCTAGTTCTTTTGAAGAGCCGAAAAGCAGAGAAAAAGTATTTGCAGTACAGTATTATATTTGATGAGAATAATTTGCTATGACTGCTTATATAAGAAGGTGAGAGATACAGGCACTCTGTGCCTCTTGTTTAAGTTTGTTTCTATATTATAGCTACATATGATGTGCGGACGGTGTGTGCACGATGTACGCACGCTATTTTTGGGGCGCTGTGCGGTCACACAACTGTATTTGGGCAATATTCCGATATAAGTATAGTAAATCACATCATACACATTAATTATCTACATGTAGATGGGAGGATGTTTACCTTCCCCAACCAGGGAAAATGTTGTAGCTCAGAATTTTCTAAATATCTGTCTTAAACTGCGGTAAAATACCGTTCCATAGAGAATTGGCGGATGAGTTTCATAATAAACAATGTACACAGTAAAACAGTTATTTTGGGGTTAAGATTATTCCAAAACACATTATAAGAATATTCATCCCAAGAAAATTTAATTCGTAAACTCACGATATCATAGGAAACTAATGGTCTTTAAAAGGTGTCTGTAAGATGCCATAGTAATACCCTCTGTTTAAAGCGAACAAGTTTTACTCCGTGATATCCTGATTACTCGTTCACTTAAAGCAAGGGAAAATAAAAATATTCTGTTATAAAAGTCTATCAAATACGAAGTCAAATGTCACTTTTGGAAATCTGATATGAGAACTATGGGAAAAGAATGTTTATCTAATATAAAAACGTCATATGTTCTTGTGGTGTTTAATATATATATGTGTATATAAGAACAAGAAAAGACCTTTAAGCTGCTTCCGGGCTCTTCCACCTCTACAATGCTTGGAAAAGATATAACTTTAAACTAACCCCTATCCCCAATTTGATAAGTTCCCATTTTGATCACGTGTATTTGACGTTTTAATCTGATATATAAAATCCCGAAAGACTACATTTCAAACATGTGCAGATAATAATAGCCTTTAGTACAAGACCTAGTCTTAAGTTTATGTGTTTATGGACTGTAAAAATTGTCGAGAATGGTGTTTGTCAGAGATGGGTGCAATTATGAAGACAAACAGACATTTCGAATTAATCTACTGTGTCACATTATATTCCATCTTGAAGAAAATCAACAGTTCTTCCAGTGGTAAATTGGTCAGTTTTGTGAATTGTTGAGTTAAAACGAGTGTACCCCTACTTTCCTTACTTAATAACTCCGTACTAAGTCCCCAAGAACGTCTTGCCAAGAATCAGCATTTTACATATTTTGCCGATGGAGATAACAGGAAATCGATCGCATTCTTATCCAGAATTAAAGGGAAGATATCAGTTAATGACAAATTACAACCTTTAAATTAATATTGTTATTAATTAAAAAGATTTAACTTTTAAAAAAAAAACGGTGGCACAAATCTAAGGACAGTACAATGTCCTCGCAACAGGTAATGCCTTAAAGACTGTTCAGTGATTAAAGGACAGTAGAAGCATCACACCATAACAAGAGAACACTTTTAACTATGTACATTATTATATAGCATCGGTCCAATAAAAGGCCTAGTTGCATGCATCAAGTTCGTGATTCATAATGGACATCAGCAATTGTATAAGAATAATACCTTTGATTCTAAAAAACATAAAGACTGAATAACTAAGAATAACACCAATCGGGCTGGCAGGAAAAAAACAGGTTATAAAACTGACCATTCAATTTTATTCGTAAACAGGAAAAGAGGCAATTATTGGCTATGCCTTAACAGTTTATGCCAAAGAGATGCACACATGTAGCCGATCAGAATTTCCGAACACTGCAAATTGTCAGTTTTGTTTGGTTGACATTGAAAAATACATCGATATTCCTTCTTATCATGCATATAATTAATGAAAGCTTTGACAGCAGACGAACATATGCCAAAAATAAAAAGAGTAATATATATGCAAATAGGACAGTATGCCGGACAATACTCAAAGGAACATCAGCAACAGACAGCAATTACAAGTTGTACTCACCAAGTAGTCCTGGCTTGGCCAGAGGCGTCCAGAGAAGACACGGGAATAGATCGTCTCGCTGGGTATGAATACATTTACCATAAATAAAGTATACTGTTAAGTACATAGTATAGTAAAAGCAGTTCGGACGTGATAATTTACAAATATGACAAAGACGTATGTTTATTATTACCAGAAGTTAACTATTTTTCCTTGGGCGATTCTTCCGAAATCAGTATCTATAAATATTTTTTGTAAATAAATGAGATATTTCATCGTCAGTAACCTGTGCTGAATAGACAATGCAAGTCATTTAGGTCAAACACAACACCAAACTAACAAAAGTGCACAAGAAAGGAAAACAAAAAATATGATATTAAATTTTAAAAAATGGCATAATAATAGTCAAAATCAAAAGAACTGGTTGTACAATATATCATACTGTAAAGATTAATTTCACGTGTATTTTTACATATCAATGGCACAGCAAAAATATCAAACTTTTTTTTATTCGGTATATTATGAAATATGTTCCCCTTTCTTGGAATCAATTATAAAATGATTGACTAAATGATCGGTCAACAGCCGAAATATATTAAAAACAATACTTTGGCATCTTCAATCTTTTAGATTGTAAACGACATATCCAGTTTGATTTCATCAGTTCTGATTTTGAATTAAATTGAACATACTATTATTTTTAATAATAAACATTCGTTGTCATGGCCTTTGCGAGTGTAACAAGAGGGTCAATTACAAGTTTGAACAATTTGACCCATTTTCCTTTGAAATTAGTTTTTTGAAGTATGGCAGCACGTCCGTTTTTGAACATTATTTAACTTTTCCTTTCGGAAGATCGGATGGTCGAACGAGCCCCGCCTATAAGTTCAGACAGGCATTCGGGTAAGTTCGGCCACCATTGGAATCAGCTGAATTATGACGTCATAAAGCATGCAACATCAGATTTTACCGCCAATTTTATGACGTTTTATGTGTCAGATACAAGGGCAAACCTTGCCACGGTATAATTGGCCGAACCTAATAATTGGTATTTCAATAAATTCTTATCGTACAGCAATATGGTAGTGAGTGATTGGCTTGGCTTTTATGTATTGTCATTTGAAGCTGTCAATGTGTTACACGTTTGACTGTAAAAAAAAGTAGCAATTCCGTTTCAAAAAGTTCGCATAACTAGAAGCGAGATCATGATTTTCTTCCTACCCTCTCAAAATTAATTTTCTCCCGTTAAGTAATTTTACATTGGAGTTTTCCTCGACAATTTTTCGTTCAATGCCCAGCCAACTAAACTGCTAAGATCCTTAAAGATGTAAATATTAGCTCAAAAACAAAAATATCAGGGGCGGTCGAACTTGCCCCGGTTTACCGTATGTAGATATTTGTATCATTGATGATTGGTAAAAATGTATTGACAATATATTTTTAACATCAATGACGCCATTTTCTTCCAGTCAAAGCTAAAGTAGATATTAATTCTTTGAGTAATGTATATGAAAGGTCGGGTGGCGCAGTGGATAGCAAGCTCGTCTTCAAGGTGTCCGGATTCAATTCCGGTCACCTGCCCGACCACGCGGGTTTTCTCCGGATACTCCAGCTTCTCCCACGTTAAGAATTAAACCCTCTGCGTGCTTCCGTCAGGGCACAAAAAGACTGATTGAGATACGTTTGGGAAAAACTGTTTGGTAATTGCTATAAAAAAGTGCATTTTACATATTTGACAATTAGTCTAAGTAAATGTATAGAGATGTTAGTTAAAAACTAAAATTAAAAAACATATTGTAATACTTTAATGTAACTGAGATCGTCGTTATATCGATATGTAGTCTCAATTACTGTTCCATCCTGAATCACCGTGTTGAATATCAAATGTTGTAACTGTCACCGAGGTTTGACAGGACTTTTGAAAATGTTAAATTTTTCGTTCATATTCTCAACAAACGGAAATCAAAATGATGATGAAAACATAAATGTACAAATTGACCTATTGGTTTAATGCCGGCTCTTTTTGAAGATATCACCCGCTAGAAATATTAACAGAACCTGGTTGATGACAAAAAGGATCTCCAGCNTATTGTTTTCATTATATGAAGATGTTCATGTATGGGTTGAAACACAGTTGTCTTGGCTTCAAGGATACACTTCCTGTTTCCCAACTGGACGTCTACTTCCGGACGACAAACAATAAAGGCAAGGTGTAGTAAGGGGAAGCAACTCTGTTTACGCACGCATGTGTTACCATTAAAGAGCTTCGCTCGGGCGCCCGAGAGCTACGCTCTTATTAAGATACTCCAGATATTTGACCCCTGTGACCTCAAACGTGGGTCAAGATCATATATTTTAACAACTTTTGTAGCCCTTTACCCAGCATACTACCGACAATAATTGATGACCTTAGACATGTTGGTATCCTGAAACCACACAGAATACACCTGCTGTTACTTACCGCATGTATCGTAAGAGGCAATACTTTCGGCTTTAATGTTGAACGTTCGCCTAGGTGAGGAAGGCAATGGGTTCTGTCCCCAAGGCAAGGACTTATGAAAGTCCTTAAAAATGGTAATTGTTTACCCTTGCTTAATGTTCAGCATTAAGGGTAATGGCAATAACTTGTCCACCTGTTGTCAGTATAATGTGATCGGGTGGAATACTGTGCTGGGTTCCTTCGGCGTGGTATTTCAGTGGGATAGCACTGGAAAGTTGGCATCAGAGCCGCGCTATCACAAGGAGGCAAGTACACAAACATGGAGGCACGTCCTTAAATGACCTTAGCTGTAGTTAGGACGTTAAACAAAATAAAACCAAACCAAACCAAATAAAAAAGATACGTTTATGGACATTTATCAACAAAAACATTAAGTAAATTAAGGCAAATGAACTAATCCTTACGCACATCATTGATAATGACCACCCTATATATCTTACAGGTTCGGAGTAAGAATAGGCCTGGTATATTTCACTGCATGTTATCGTAAGAAGCGATTTATGTATGGCCCCTTGCAAAATCGGGATTTTCCTGCAATGACTTCTTCGAAGTGGACATTAAAGAAATCAAAATTGATCTGAAAAAAGTTGCCTTTTTACATTTAAATGATATACGTGTTTGGATGCCGCAGGTCTTTTCTTGGTGGCGCCGTTATTCCTAATGCAATTCACTTGCAACATGCAGTATGATGCAGCAGGTTTCTTCTTCCTCGGAAACAGCATGATTTAGGTTGAACAACATCGTATTTTAAAACAATTGCATTGAAGAGCCATTGGAGTAATGTTTATACACGAATCTACCAGTATGTTACTTATCCATAAGCATCCTGTCTGTAATAATATTGAAACTTTTTTAGATTCTTAGTTATATGCAATACAACTTTTATATTTACATTGTCCGGGTGATATAATATTTATGTCGATATGATTTATACCAGATCGTGTCAAATGATATAATGCAGTTTCTAGCGTCTGTCTACTTTCAAAAACTATACAAACACAGGTTTGTAAACGCTCTAATGGAGCTGATTGAGTTGTAGAAAATAAATGTAACCGAGTAGGAAATAGAAGATTATATCAATTAATAACATCTGCGAAGTGATGATTTCATCTAACGTTTCATTTTTTTCAGCAAATAGGAAATGTATACTACAGTGACAGGGAACCATTTTACTAATCTTGTTCTGCGGTTCAAATTCCCAAAGGTAAATACCGTACTCCTGAAGCGAAGAAAACCAATTGCTCTTCTCCGGAATTCAATCTAGCATATTCGAATTATGCAATGAATACAACTGAGTGGAAAACGTCTCTATGGAATAAATGTTATAAATAACTCTGACAGAAAACATTAGTTTATCGGCCCGAATGTATGTACTGATTTGCATAGCCAAATCAAAAAAGGTGTTTAAACTAACGTGGTATGTATAGGTTCTAGAGAAAATGGCAGTATACCGAAGCGTCATCCGTAAGGATATGAATCAGAACTAATTGTCAAACCAACAAACGGAACCGTAAGACAGACTGCCGAACAATATGTTTGGTTTGGTTTGGTTTAGTATTGTTTAACGTCCTATCAACAGCTGTGGTCATTTAAGGACGGCCTCCGCTATGTGCAAGGTGCATGCGTGTAGTGTACGTTTGGGGGTTTTGGAGGCTGCGATATATTCGTTTTTGTCCCCTTGTAATAGCACGGAACTGATGCCGAATTTATAGTACTACCTCACTGAAACACACAGCCACACACACACACACACACACTCACTCACTCACTCACAAAGACAAGTAAGGTTGCGATCGATTATTTGGAAATTGAGTTTTGCAAGAATGTAACAATTCAGTATAAATTTTGTGTAATTATATAAAGCAAGTGACAGAATTTGATATTTGGTGTAATTATGTAATGATACAATTCTCTGCACGAAATGGGTATCCTTATTAGGAAAAGGTCTTTTGAATAAAAAAAATCTAATAGTTTTTAGCAAAGAACAATTATTTTATTTTAGTTCGGTTGTTTTCGTAATGGATCATATTTTGGATCGAAAATTCGTAGAAGGGGGTTTTACGTGTATACATACTTGCAAGCGTTAGGGCAATAACATGTCCTGGTGCCGATAAGGAAGTCCTGGGTAACAGCCGTAGCACAGCGGAAATCTGATTGAAAGAATAAAAATATTTTGGACAAAACGAAGTTAAGGTACGTATTACATTAATAAACGAACACTGCATGCATGTGTCGACCTTGTGCAGTGTATCAATTGAACACATCGCGATTACTAGATATACCTCTTCCAAGACACAAGAACGCATTACACAAACTGCGGCACGTCCTTAAATGACCTTAGCTATTTATAGGATACTAACCAATGCATGAGAAACAAATCGTTGATATACGTTTGCTAGGAAGGAAAACGGGGGACTTAAAATACCTTCAAGGATATTAATGGTCTTAAACAAGTATGCGTTTTTACTCAACTTTCTCGCCTCAAAGAGCTTCGTGTACACTAGTTAGTTTTATTACATAACGTTTTTATATTTGCTGTTTGTGAACAATCTGTACGTGTCTTAATCATTTCAACTTCGACAACAAAAAAATAGCAGTTGGACCTTAAATCATACATACAGCCTTAATAAAGAATTTTCATTTCAATCACAGCTGAAATTAGAGTTAGTAATTATAAACTACGTCACGATTGCAGGGTAATTATAGGTACTAATTACATGGAAGCAATCATTTTCGGAGATAATGTGACATGGTAAAGAATTGAATGACGACATGGTGGGTCGCGAACGAACCGGAAACATGCACTCTTTGCCTACTTGTAGTTAGGTCAGACATTGTTACGCATATATATAACATAACGCGACATCTTAAGAACGCATTTTATAATATTTATGAGTGATTGTCAGAAATATTTAAGCACAAAAAACAAAGATGCATTAGTAGATGGAGACAAAAAAACAACAGAAAAGGATTTGTATTTAAGGCATAAAATTAAATGATATTACTCTAAAATCTGAGAATTCTTTTTCAAGCTCGGGCAGCAATAAACGTCTAGGTTCTAGCGATGAATTTAACAATTACAAAATGAATTTTAGAACATGAACGATGGTAATTGATAATTACGTTGTTCTTCTTAAAGTTAATGTCATATCACTCACCAGGAGGAAATTTGGCAAGTTACTGTTAAAAAATATAAATCATAGTCATATAATCAAAAAATTGAATCTGCTCCTACCGCAAATAGTCAGTGCAGACCGCGGAATTTGTAAATATTCTAGAAAAACTTGTGTGGAAAGGGGGTATAGATATTTCAACGTAGGACACAGAGAACGATTATACATACTTCACAAACGTACTTTCGCCCTTCTTTGAGTTGTTCAGTTGATTCAATTCAGTCGGAATTGTGACGGCATAGTTGAAATTCACATACTTAGAACGTCACAATTCAAGTCATGATTGTAGTCAACACAGCGCAAGCACTCCTGCAGCTTCGGAGATTGAGAAAGGATTACAACTGCTGATACCCACTGCATGACCGTAACAGGTTACTAATGTTGGAACCCACTGCAATTGGGATTGTGTGTTTGTTCCCTCTACTTGGGGACAAAAATGATCAAAATAAATATGTAACACCCATAGCAATATTTTGGATTTTATTTTATATCTGTACTTTTAACTGTCTTTTGTTTCCTAGCGCCATGCTTGGCAATACCTCACTTTTGGCTTAAATGTTGAACGTTCGCCAAGGTGACGATGGTAGTTGGTTCCAATACTAAAGTATTTGGACAAAAATGGTAGTTATTATTTCCTGCTTAACGTTCAGCATTTAGAGGAATGGCAACAACTGGTTCACCTGTTGTCAGTATAATGTTTGGTCGACATTAAATCCGTGCTATCACATGATTACATCAACATACCCCGCCTCCAGCAAATATACCCACATGCATGCTTACATTGTTTACATGGAGGTACGTCCTTAAATGACCTTAGCTGTTGGCAGGACATTATTAAAGCCTATACAAAACACATAGCAGGTCATCCCAATAGTTAATGGTATCATTATAAGCATTTGCATTGTTAAGGCTGGCAATACATTTTTTAACTGTTTCAATTAGCACCACTCGCCTCAGGAGCCCAACAAGAATAGAAAGTGCATGTTGTAAGAGGCTTCTTATATTGACAGAATCGGGTTTTGTCTCTACCATGTCATGTCTGCTGCTTAGGGGACGTTGCTCTGCTGTCCCAATTTGAACTTTTGGGAACTTTTTGTTTACCTTACTTGCCTACTTTTACCTTTTTTTAGTTAATTCTTAGTAGCCGTCTTTGTATGACGTTAACTACTGCAAAAACATTAAACCATGTCAAAGTCATTAAAAATGATAGTTGTTATTCCCCTGCTTAACATTCAGCATACAATGGGATTTGCAACGACTGGTTCACCCATTGTCAGTATGATGTGACCGGGCGGAATGATGTACTAGGTGCCTTTGGCATGGTATTTCAGTGAGATAACACTATAAAGTCGGCATCAGATCTGCGCCATCACAAGGAGACATATCATAAATCGAAATTGCTATAATACCAGATATTCCACCATGGACAATACGACTTACTGAAGTAAATTTAGCATTACACAATAATGATAAACCTCACACTCTCTCGGCTCAATACAAGAGCGCTTTTTCCGAATTCACCTCAGGATTTCCTTCACATAAACATTTATATACGGACAGCTCTAAATTTATAGAATAAGTTGCAGCAGCATGTGCTATTGGCAACTTTTTCCTGCCTATAACAAAATAATGCATCTATTTTTACAGCTGAAGCTGCTGTCCTTGGTTTGGCTTTGCATGAAATTGAAAAAATAAATTAAAAAACAATAACTTCGGAATTTGAACTACATTCTCGAACAAAACATCGCCTTTTTTATCGAATGTTATTGTTTTGTCACCTGATCTTGATTTGGATACCAGATCATGTCGGAATAAATGGAAATGAGACGGTTGATAAAGCTGCTAAAGCAGACATTAACCTACAACCAAAAGAGATTAAACTGCCTTTTCTGTTTTTAAACCTTCTATAACAAATTTTGTTAAAACGGACTGGCAAAAATAAAATGTCAAAATAATAGCAAGTTATTTACAATTCAACCTATCCGGATTCCTGTGCAACAAGTAGAGCAAACCGCAGAGAGGCAATTGTCCATATCGCGACTGCGCATAGGCCATACCTACACATGGCTACATTTTGAGTAATGAAAACCATCCTTATGTTAATGCATGCGATCAACCATTAACAGTCAAACACTTTATGATTGAAAGCGCCGATTTCAAACAAATACATGACAGATTTTATGATGTACCGTCTAAGAAAAGATTGTTCTTTTACAGTTTCTGTGCAATTAATATATGACTATTTACACTGTATTGATCTTTACAATAGTATATGATGTATTGTGCAGCCAATTTGTTCGATATTAATGTATTTTTTTAATCCTTTACATTTTAAGCTATTAAGTTTTGGTATTAGAGTAGTGTTCACCCTAAATGACTCACATAGTCGATGGGCCGTTAAACAATACAAAAACAAAACAAAAATAAACCGCGCTATCACAACGAGGCAAATACTCTAACATACCCTGTCTCCGGCATACATACACGCATGCATACACAACACACATGAAGACGCGTCCTTAAATGATTTAACTGTTGATATGACGTTAATTCTATAAAACCAAACCAAGCTAATCTCTATGACGTCTGCCGATGTTTAACGCATTCAAATGATCTAATATTGATATGAATATTAATACTAACTCTATAAATCTTCTCAATGGAACCAGTTATCCAAATTCAACACACAAAACATATATGGATGTTACCGTATAGATGACAAGGGTTGGTAAAAAAGATGTACATTCCTTCAAAAAATATTAAGATTTTGAACGGATTGGATTTTGTAAAATATTAAAAATCGCCGTACAGGGCATTACTGCCCTATCTTTGCACTCAATACCAGCTCTTACGAAAACATTCTAAAGTGTTCTCAATGGTTGTATCCAGTTTATTTTCTGGAGAGAAAAAAATCGATAACGGGGTGTACTGGCAAGATTTACCTAGGAAGTGTTAATGTGGTCCCGCGTGACGGTCACGTGACATACTAGAAACATTATGTTCGTACGCACTGGTGCAAATATACGGTTAGGGACTATGAACATTGGACATCGCGATCCCCGTATGAAAACAAACGCACAATAAGTAAATACTAAAAAAAATCCTTTGCAAAATGTATGATTTTGGTAGATCATGGTGTTAAAGAGCCACATTAACATGCTGGCAGAAGATACAGAAAGAAGCCATCATGTCAATGTAGGAAATTAACAATGAAATAAGGAGTCGCCGTTCCGTAACCAGTGCATAATTGGTGTCATCGAATAGGTTTGCTCTCGAAATTCACGACCTTAGTATTCACAGTACTGTTAATACTCTTCAGTACCAAACATTCCAAGGTGTATGCTAAAAGCATTACCTAAACAGTAATCCAGATAAAATGTGAAAAGAAAGTATTTTAACCTTCTACTCTATCTAGCCGCGGTCATATCATACGGTCACGCACGTAGTTGACCGTAATTCGTGTGATACTCTAGGTTGAAGTAGGTTCAAATTTGGCAAAAGAGGAATATAACGAAAGCTTAAGTAGGGTGAACTACGTGTAAATACGGCCAACTGCGTTCAACTACGAGCAAAATTGCTAGGATTAAATAGGGTCGCACTACGTCTAACTATGAGCAATTATACGTGAAACTACGTACGCACAGCTACAATCAACTACGTTCAAACTACGGTCACAGTAGGGTCTTGGCATCCAAATTCACCGTAGATATATTTTGAACATGTTGAAAAATGTTTGTCTAACCACGGCCAAATCATGGATTTCCTGAGGTTCAAACTACGTCTAAATACGTTTAATTCGTTTAACAAAGGTCACCTGCGGTCTACTACAGTCAAATACGGTAATCCCCACTACGGTCGACTATGTGCGTGACCGTAAGATGTGACCGCGGAAGAGAAAATCGGGTGGTCTTTTTTAGATGTTTTCGACGTCTCATAACCGGTTCTGTTTATTAATACTTTGGTTTGTTTGTTTGTTTGTTTGTTTGATTTTGTTTAACGTCCTATTAACAGCTAAGGTCATTTAAGGACGCCCTCCGCCGTGTGCAAGATGCATGCGTGTAGTGTATGTGTGTGTATTGTGGGAGGCTGCGATATGTTCGTGTTTGTCTCCTTGTGATAGCGCGGAACTGATGCCGACTTTATAGTGCTTCCTCACTGAAACATACTGCCGAAGACGCCCAGCAGGACGCTCCACCCGGTCACATTATACTGACAACGGGCGAACCAGTCGTCCCACTCCTAATTTGCTGAGCGTTAAGCAAGAGTAGAAACTACCATTGGTAAAGACTTTGGTATGTCTCGGCAAGGGGACAGAACCCAAAGCCTTCCTCACAGGGACGAACGCTCATCAAATGGCCAAAAGTGAGGCATTGTCAAGGGAGACATAAGGAAGAAGAACGTTATTTAGAAAGGAGAGAAGAGATAAGGTCCCAAATTTAGTCGCCTCTTACGATCATGCAATTTGGGGCAGCAGGTACAATTCTTACGCCCTACTTGCAGGGTCTTTGGAAAGATCATTCTGTTTTCCTATGATGTATAGCTTTATCCCTTGAGAAGTGGAGTCTTTCTCTGTATTATCTATCTCTTATCAAGAATACATTTGCATCTGGTACTGTACATTCAAAACCTCAACCGCCGACTTAAGAATACCCCTTTGTTTTGAACACAAAGTAATTGAACACGTATTTTACTCGCTTTCGTAACATCAGTTTTCAATTACTGTTTGTGTTTCTGTATCCTCCATCTTTTATGTTTTTCCCAGGTTTTTTTGTGTTTTTGTTTTAAAAAACGTTTGCATATGAGTTCGTGATTGGGAAATTGAAATTGCCCCTATAAAAATTATTTTAGTTCGAAAAGTAATATATAATTCTCCAATGAAATATGGTTATTAACAAGTGTCTTTTGAGTGGCATCGGCACGGTATGCCATCGATGTATGTGTACCTCCCTAAATTGGCCATCGTATCTGCACTATTACAACAACGAAACTATGTACCCGAGCATTACACATTTCACACATGAATACACGCCTTTAAATGGCTTTAAATGTTAAAATCTTTCTTAACCCTATAAACTAAGTCAAATTGTACATCGCCGACATTGTAGTTTTCGGATTTCACCTGGCAGGTCGGGGATCGAGTAAACAATACACCTGCTGTTACCCACTGCCTGGCAAAGGCGACTAATGCGGAAGCCCCTGCAGATTTGAGAAAATGCTTTAGCGACCAAAGTAAATCTGCTGCACCAATTGCAATAGTTGGAATCTGTATCTTTTTTACTAATTCTTTAATTTCCTAATGCTTGGCAATACCCAACATTTGGCTCTAACCAAACCAAACCTGACATAGAGCATGCATGTCGCAAACGTTAAACGTTAACATTACTGTCTAACTGAGGGTATAGCCCTGTATTACATCTGGTAATGTAGACACATCAAGTACAAATGTAATCCCTGCAACACGCAACTATCAAATCAACAAAAGTCAAAAAGGGATATATAGAATCGACTAGCTGATATCGTAAATCTGTGGCATAGTGATCAAAATGGAAGTCTAGCATTCCATCCTAATCATATGTCTGCGTTATTCATTTCAATTGGACACCGGTACATGAAAACGATGAGAGGGGATCATATCTTTGTAGATAACGAAAGTACATTTAAACTTTAATCTAGCAATGTTTGCATGACATATTATTTAGCTTAAGAATAAGATATTTGCTGTCGCCAAATGTTGTGAATTGGTACCGTAATGGGGAGTTAAACAGATGCCCTTACCTTTTGTGTTATTTCTACATCGATTATGTTTCGACTTTTGACAAGATTTTCATTCGTTTAAACTTAACTGAAGAATCCAAAGTGGACAAAATGGCGAAATAACAGGTATACCAATTTAGCATAATGTGTTTTTAGTGTAGGACACTTAAATACGATATCTTCCAAAAAATATATTAATGTTTTCACAGTTGATAACAAAAACTTCTGCTTCTAGATTATGGATGTGGCATTTTATTACTTTTTTTTTTTTTTTTTTTTTTTATCTCGGAACCAATTAAGGTTACCCCTAAAACGTTCTCCAACTTAACTGTTTTTAAATATTGAACTGATCAAACGATATAACAAAAATGTATTTTTTTGCCAGTGAAATATCGGATTCTATCAACTTGGTAAAACTAATATCTTTCACACTGACAAATATCAAACTTGATATTTTCAGTGTGAAAATATCACTTTTTGGTATTGACCAATCATAACGGTATCTTCTTTTCGCTGCATTCAAAGGCAACGATTCAAATGAAGCGACGGTAGAATAAGTGGCTATGGTAAATGTTTGGTACACGCACTTGAGTATTTACATAAATATACAATTAATAACATTTTTATAAACAATCATACCAGACAATAGCAGAAAACGTAGGAATTGCGTTGGGTATCCCATTCAATATGGCACGCAGCCTTGTTGTCAAACGTGACGGCATTATAATATGGCGCAAATTATTTCGCTTCTGATTCCCGCCCTTTTTTAATGCATTACATTGTTCATATTTTATGCTATAAAATGTATTAATAGAAAAATTAATGCTGTCTTGTGAAAAAATATCAAAATATTAGCCATACTCGTGAAATATATTTGTTATTACTGAAGACATCATTAAATATCCTCTATATATGATAGTTTGTGAACGTGTCAATGAAAATAACAGTCATAGGAGACAACGACACCTACAAAACAAGCCAAACAAACCGTTGGTAGACTCTGCACAGTTTCGGAGCGCGTCAGTTCTGTCAGAATATCCAGTATATAACTCGTTACGGATGTTACTCTCGAAGCACCCACAGATCGTCTCTATTGCCATCTCTTTACAGTCTAACAGACACGCCTAAACAAATAATAATAAATTACATTTTAACAGAATTGCGATGAATAAATTCTAAATATAAACATATAAATGAAGAAATATATATATATTTACTTTACAACAATTATGAAACAAGTTATTTCCACTTGTATTAATCAATCTTGTTGGCCTAGATGTTGGCGCGCGGAGGGTTTTAATGTGGGAGGCAACAATATGGAGTATCTGGAGAAAACCTACGTGGTCGGGCCCATACCTTTTCACGTCGGATTGGGGAATCGAACCCCGGCCGCCTTAGTGAAAGGCAAGTCCGCTTTCCAATGCACCACCCGACCACTCGATAAAATATAAACTATCATATGAAGCGCACATGTTACACATTTGAAACGTAGTTTACTGCGATATTTATAAAATCAAATCTAATTATCAAGAGATGGCGATATCGAGTTCACTCTATATAACACAGTATCAACATTCGGTATAATTCGAATGGGGGGGGGGGGGGGGGGGGGGGGGGATAAACCTAAAGCATCCATGCTCTTAAATATCCATTGATTTCAGTATTCAACACATTATACCTGAACAAGTATGTCTTCAGTAAAAAGCTTTTACAATGATATCCATTTTACACAAAGCTCCAAAGATTACTAACGGAACACTAATGAAACTAACAGCGCTTATACTGAAAGTACATCTCATCCTGTGCTGATGTTCCTGCGATTAATTGTCCCTTCCTCAACGACCAGCGGTTCAAAATCAATGCAATCTTTTCCCGAGAAAAATTAAAAACAGTTCATACCCTTTAAAAGGGCATTTTAATTTCACCATAAAGTGCATACCCAACTAACGTTATTCTACGCCGTTTAGAAACTGGCGTCTCGATGTCTGACAAGGGAAACACATAAACTAGACTTAAAAACTGTTTTTCCACAAACTGTTTTTAGCAAATACACGAGAGTTTCAATGATATCAATTCGCTTACACTTGTATGTATGTTTGCGCGAACAAGCCGACTGTTTCATTTCCAGGGTTGTACAGTAAAAGTATCTATCTCTACAGCTAGTCATCTTATATGTAAGTGTTCTTTATTTGTATCCAGTTATTTGTATTATACCAATTAGTATGATTGCAAAAAGCTCCTCATAGTTGCCCGAGTCAATGAAAACTTGTGAGGAATCTTTTTTATTTTTTTTTAATCTCTTTATATATATATATATATGGTTACACGTTAGCAACACATTGCTGTATCTCCGGGGTATTGTTTAAGTATAGTTTTCGCCATAATTGGTAATTTTATATATACATCGTTAAATCGTTCACAGAATATATTGGTTTAAGTTTGTTCGCAATCAGAAGAAAGCACTGGTGAAGTTAAACTATAGCCAGCATCAATGCCCACAGGCAAAACCCCCACGTATGAGTGATTGAGCTAGGTTACAGAAAATTTCCTGGGAACACATGGTTTTGGATGTACCTGAGATAACAAGAGATAAATGTACCCCTGCTACGAAGGTAAGCCGGAGGGGGGAGGGGTGTGTTGTTTATTGGAATCGCCAACACTTTACTAACGTAATTAACACGCTCCAAAGTTGTGCACCTGGGATTATATTTCAATCCTGTACAAACAAATTGCGGGAGTTAAACCCTTTCAAACGAAAGCATGCCAAAATTTTATCCGGGCATATCTTCTGTGTTACATGTATTTCACCTGGATATCGAGTAACCATATTTGCTATGGAAGTACATCTTCAGACGTTGAAGTTTCAAGTACAAAATATTGGTCACTGTGACCTATGATTTGACCTTTGACCTCAACCTTTGAAAACAAATTCGATAGGGGTAATTTAGCAAATTCTATAAAATTCTTCATTGTAGGAATGACGGGATTTTGTCCATATTTGGTCTAAAGCACCCTTTGGTGAAGGGAATTATATTTTGTGTAAACGTTGGGTCTGACCCCCACGAGCAGAGGCGCGGGGCCCTAATAGTGGAAACATAGCAAATTCCTCAAAATACTTCTTCTTTTGTAGGAGTGATAGGATTTTGTGCAAATTTGGGACGAAGATCCCTTGGGTGAAGGGGAACCAATGTTGTATAAACTGTGGGTTTTAACCCCCTTGGGCAAAGGGGCGGGGCCAAATATGGAAAATAGAAAAATAGCTTTAAAATCATTCTACTTCTGTAGGAATTACAGGATTATGTCCATATTTGGTATAAGCATCCTTGGGTGAAGAGGAACTAATTGTGTATCAACGTTGGGTCGGACACCCATGGGGCAGAGGGGCGGGCCCCAATTGTGGAAACATAACAAATTCCTCAAAATCCTCCTTTTCCTGTAGGAAAAACAGGATTTTGTCCAATTGCATATAAATATAACCCCTAACTAACCATGCCATACATCTCCAGCCACGTATGGCTATTTCAACTTCAATGTTGCTAACATTTCCAGGTGAGCGATACAGGCCCTCTGGGCCACTTGTTATACTTCACATTTAATTTTTTAATACTTGATTATGTTGCAGATTTAATTTCTAACATCTGACCATCATACCATCCTTGATGTTCCATGGGTTACTGGAGTATCGAGGATGCCATCATGCACGCAGGTGATGTATCGTTAAATCTGTATGTATATAACGCAACGAACACGTACTTGGCTGCTGTACCGGATACTGCTAGAAATGTTATTATATCCTCGCTTGCCAAAGAATCCCAGCGGTATAGCACAGGAGCCGTGCGGTGGTCCGAGCCGGCTAATCTTTGCCTGAAAAGTTTAGTATATTAACTAAATGAAGAGTGCATGCACAAACGGATCGGTAATAATGCAAATGGTCTGTAAGAAAATGTTGTTTATACACGGCAAATATTCTATTATTATTTGCTATTTGTATGTCCTTATCTGTATCGTTATACTTTTATATGGTCGGCCTTGGAAAACATAAGGTCTGTTAATTTAAAGACAACATTTTCCTGTATTTGATAACTAGTATCAGACCAATTTAGTTCGTTGTTACGGTCGTGCCGCATTTATTCCTAAGAATGCGTTTACGCATTTTCTAAAAAAAAAAAATTTAATTTGGATCAATATTAGCTATGTTCAATAACGTCATACGCATTTCCAATACATATAATTTACAGAAGAGAAATGGGAAAAACACTATTTACTTGGACAAATCTGACAGAATTCTAACCAGAAAGAACTCATTTGTAATTATTAAAATAGTTAGTATAATGATGTATGTACAAAAACAAATGGATATTATCTCAAGCGTTTATGGCTCCTCTGCCATCCACGACGATGATTGATATTCGATATAATTGGATAAAACTTTCATAAAACAGATATTATTCAAAATATAGCATGTGGCTGTATATGTATGACGATAAAATATCACAAATAAATAAATATTTGTTACTTGCGAGTACTGATTCGATTATATCAAAGTTATGACTGCATCTAAAAATAAATCTGAAGATCGAATGTTCTGATCTTCCTTACCATCCGGACGCCCAATGACGTTTCGTATCCAGGTGACAGGGTCATTCCTTCTTCCGCCGGAAGTGGAAAACTTCCACTTTGATGGAGGACGATTCGCGCCCCGTAACCATGTGTCATGTGAGGAATGGCCTCGTGGGTCTCTAAGTTAAGGGTCATCTGGAAACCTTTTAGACAACAACGAGGATAAAACTGTGAAACAATAACGAGTAATTTACATGCAGTTGTTATTCGGGTATTTCCCTTGCTTAAAGTCAAGCAACCCGTTGTCAGTATAATATCACCTGGTGGAATACTGTGCTGGATGCCTATGTCGTGGTATTTCAGTGAGGTAACACTCTATAAATTCGACATCAGACTTACACTATCACAAGGAAGGAAATACACCAACATACGGCCTCCATAACATAGATACACGCATGCAATGCACATTGGACCGCGTCCTATAAGGTGTTAATAGGACGCTAAACGCAATATCCCGATGTACCACGCTTTACTAGTTGATTATACCGATGCAAAAAAAACATAGACATTTCAAAATATAGCACAACCACAATTTCTGCAAACCAATCAAGAAACATATACTTTTCCAAAAAAGTATGCACTGTGGGAGCACAGGGATCAGATAGTTTGTTACAGCTCTTTGTTTTACCTAAATTGAGGTGCTGAGAGTAATTTTACACGATTTATGGGATTAGATCAACTCTCGGTAAAATCGCCATCCCAAATGACAATTACAATCATTGGGAAAGCATTTTTACCGGAACTGGATCTTAACCCACAATACGTGTAAAATTACGTATACTCTGACCTCTCAGTTTAGGTCCAAAGATACAATGAAGTTGAAACAAAATAGCAGGTCCCTGTGGATTGGACCCTGATTGAATCGGATATTTCCGTGGGTAAGTAACGTACATTGACGAAGGAGACTTCCGAGGGAGTTTGTCTGCGACATGTGTTTAAGTTTTCGGATCTTTAAACAACGATGCCATGGCAAAATGTGTGATATAGTCAACTTAACGACTTACTGTAATATACAAATGTATAGTGAATAGAGTAGGGATATGTTACTCAATACTGATAATAAACAGTCCTGCTGTAGTCCACTACAAGTTGCCGTACATATAATAGACGACTAGTGTGTGGCCCCATGCAGAACCGGTATCGTGTCTTTGTCTTCTGCTCAGTAAACGTTTTAAAGAAAGAAAAATACATAAAAAAACAAAACTGATCTGCAGTCTCCACCAGGGGTTTCTGTCTGTTCGTCTATGAGGTATCTCTGGACATCGTCTTCATATTACCACTGTTGTTGAGAGGACATCAAACACCAAACACACAGCATATTTATGTATAGTTGTGTTTATGCATACTTGGTTTGAAAATCTACATTGGTGTAAAGCTGGTTTATGAGTCTATAGTGATGGATGCCTTGCTGGCAAGTCTTACCATAATCTGGTCCGCTCCTTGTCGCCACATACGATTTGGATTCGAACGTGTAACAATTGCCATACTCCTTCGATACATGTCTGCGTGTGGGCCTGTAATCCAATGAAAAGTATGAAATGCGTTAAAAGGAAGGGTATTCTGCTAGGGCTGAAGCATGACGATCAATCTATGCACTGTATGTGGTTTCCGACTGGCTCTTTCCTGTGACAAACATAATCTTGTAAAAAACACCACTGTTCGGATGGAAATCATTAACCTAGCGACTGCTTGGACGAAATCCAGGCAATGAGTTTCTAGGATGCGACAAATGTACGCGACGCCAGCTGTAATCTGTTAAAGTGTAATTAAAACACGTCACATCCGACAGTGAGACTTGGAACCAAATAGACCGAGTTTTATCAGCTTTATGACATCAACATTCGCAGATCAGTCGAACCAAACAAAGAACATTTTCGCTTTTGGATGGAACTTTTACTCTACTCGACGATATTGATTCCTTTTACACACTGATTTCAATTTTATAAAATAAATTAGAATCAAAGTAAACGTGGATGTGTGAGTAAGGGTACATTGTATGATAACTAGCGTTAACAGGTTCTAGGGTCCATATTTCGTTTATCGGTGTTTCAATGAACTGCTAAAATGAAATCGAACACATTAATTTGTCAAAGAATGGGGTTTATTTTTACATAAAACAGAATTCCAAGAAAGATTTAGAACAGTTTAAAGTACAAGATGATACAAAGGATATAATTTATCTCACTGAGAGGATATATGGTTTCGGCTCACCGTTTACATTGGCGACCTGCGAAGGTACAGCTTAGCAACATCTTGTCTATGTCATGGCCCATGCTAATTCGGTCATCCCTGTAAAAACACAGTGACAGCAAAATTGATTAGACTCTCCAACGAAATTCTGTTGCAGACTTTTGAGAAACAGGACGACACTTAAAGTAAAGCGTCTGGCTTTGCTGGATGATATGTGAGATATTACATATGAATACATGAACACATCAATTATTAACGATATTTGCCCCCCTTTTTTTGGATAATTAAAATTGGTAAAGAAATATATCGTTTATTTGATGGGGATGTATGTTGTATATAACAGTAAGATTTCATGTACATTTTACCTTGACAAAGATTCGTATTCCTGTTGTAGTCTCTGGTTTAGAATATAAAGTTCATCAAGTTCTTCAGAAGAATCGTCTCCTGCGTCAGTCATCACTTGATTGATGACGTCTTCGTCGATGTCAGTGATACGGATTTCAAAGGAAGCGGTGTCGTACACAGTATTGCTCGTATTGCGCATGCTCGCCAGGAAGTCATCAAATGTTTGCTGTCCAACTGCCAAGCCTGACGTCCCATTCCTGAACTAGAATATTGCAACAAACCTAAAGCTATACTGATGCAATTAAAATTCATTTAAACAAAGGAAAACCAACAATACGTTCTTATCGTTTACTTATTTGTTGATTCGATTTATAAAGTATCGAAAATTGATCAAACGCACCATTTTTATCAACACAGATTCACGTATTTACGTCGCTCCGATATCATTCACTGTAGTATTATCATTCCACAATTTCGCCACTTGAAATAAAACACAGACAGAAAAAAGTAATTACGCGATAATATCTCTATAAATGTCCAGATTATATTGAGTACCGTTACTGTCTATTGCGAGTATGCACCATAGTCACTGGTCACAGACGGTGATAGATACGAGAGAGGTACATTTGCAACCCACTATATGAACATTACCAGCAGAAATACATTTCATTTGAGCTCATGACGTAACACGTGGTTTACGTATGACGTCATAGATTAGCAATGAGAGTCTTGTCGCTTCGCTTCCGGTAACATGGAAAATGTCCCTGCGTCAAACGCTCAAGTGACCGTTAAATATTGTTTCCAATTTTATTTACATATATAATAGGGCTGTTCCGCCAGTAACGTTTACTTTAAACATATCTATTGCCAATTAAATTGAACAAGGGATTGGGCACAAGTTGTTACAACTTATCACAGCCATCTCCCGTCATACATTTACAATTAAATTGAACAAGGGATTGGGCACGACTTATCACAACTTATCACAGCCTTCTCCCGTCATACACTTACAATTACATGTCAAAAGTATCGTTTAAGGACGACTCATATGCAAAACGCAGTAATAAATTAACTTTTTACAAACAGATCAATAAAATTAAACAATTATTCAGCTTGGAAATATGCAATATCAACCTTTTTCTTTCTACAAAAACAATGTACGTATTAAACGTGTCGCAAAACGATCGATATTGAAACGTTTTGCGACACGTTTAATACGTACACTGTTTTTTGTAGAAAGTAAAACTTTGATATTACATATTTCCAAACTGATGAATCTTATTGAAGATAGTAGACTGTTTATTTCATATTTAACTACAGCTTAGGTCATAGGAAGATGGGCGGGAGGAGACACTGCCAACAAGAAAGAGAAGAGAAGTAAGAAAAGAAAACATGTAGATCACATGCAGTGAAAAACAGCAGGTCTATTCTCTCCCCGAACCCGCACATGATGAAAATAGTAGCTGTTCTCTTCCCGAACCCGCACATGGTGAAAATAGTTAACAGTTAAAGTCTGGGTATGAGGGATAACGCAAGTTTATGATCCCCCGAGGCCAGGACTATTTCCCGAGGCGAGGCGAAGCGAAGCCGAGGGAAATAGTCCCGCTCTCGTCCAACACACAAAACCTGGGGGACGCCATTTCTGTTGTCGTCTGTCAACAACAATGCTAGGTGAAGGTCGGTCCAGAAAGTACCGGCTCCGCTGGCCGGAAATTGCCGACGTAATTCGATTGCGCTGATTGGTCAATATTCGGTCAGGCCCCGCCCACGACGTCACTTAATTTCCCACATTTTCCGAGGGAAATAGTTTCAAAACTATCGCACCCCTCCAGACGAACTATTTCCCTGGCATGCAGTTAGAGGGGAAATAGCTTGTTTATATGGTTACTTTTGTATAGTGTAAAATAAGTAGAGGTATAATAATAGTTGTTCTCTCCCCAAACCCGCACATGGTGAAACTAGTAGCTGCATAATTCACCAGATATAGAGTTTTCCTAGCGAGTGGTGTTTGTTAAACATATATATCCGACTCGAAATGGTTAATTCTCAAATTGTATAAAAATATGTGTTTTATCTAGTGTCTATTCATGAACTAATAAAGTGACATATTGTTTTCAGCATGTGAAATTACTTTTATTCAAATTTTGTTTTAATCAAATGAAAAATATTTTCCCAATGATTTTTACCATTTTAATCGAACTAATTTCTGTCGAGCCATGATGCCATTGAGAGTGATATGTTTATTGCCGAGATGAACTTACAACTAAGCTAATACTTAGACTTCCGTGTGACAGTTGAATACCTAAAACGAAGGCTCGTATTTTAAAATCGTTCTTTCAAACATTCTAACTCATCAGAATTCACGAAACAAACATTACAACACACAAGTGACACGTCATAGAATGTGATATAAATTATACTACAATATGCATAAGGCCAACCCGTACGAAATGGTTCAAACTCTAATCTTTGACTACCATTTTTGGGCGTTAGCGGTAGTGTATTGGGTGGTATTTGAGGCGGAAATGTGCAATTACTTTTTGTAATTGCTTTGTATACGGTGAGGACATGTGATAATGTGTAATACCAGTTACATATGTATATACTGTTACTTGTTTATCATTGTAGATGTATTGTTGGGTATTTTCTTTGAAAAGGGTCGCTGATTGACATCTATCAAAGTGCTTATTTTTGTTGATAAAACATAACTATTATGATATATGAGTAACGATTTGAGAAATAGTACAAAAAATAATACGTTTTCAAATAGCTTGCGCTTACATTGCCTGGTGGATTAATATCCATCAACTTCTTCATCAATGTTGTTCCTGACTGTCGAATCCCAGACAGCTTGACCGGGTTCATGTTACATATGGTTATAGATGGGTACACGAGTGGGCGTGACTGCACTGTTATAGACGTTTTGGTTGGATACGAGTAGTAATATGTCAAAATGACGTAGAATTGGTATATAAAGTATGAAAAAAACGACATAATGAACAACAACCACATCACACGTCGACGTGTACTTCCGCTGAACACGCGACTTACTCCATGGACCGACGACTGCTCTCCCATAGATCTTAGAATTGTGCCAACTGTTTCCTTATTAGCATCTCTGTTCTCTTTGCTGACATTGGTGGCCGCTTGTTTTATGGTTTGGATAGACTTCAATGTACCAGACAAACTCCTCTAAAAAATAAGTAACATTAAGTTTTTTAATTAATACCTCAAATCATGTACAGGTTTTAACTGTGTGTTATAAATAAGAAAATGTTAAGTCCGTATATAATATATACATTTTGTGCATGATTTTCGAATCTTGGAGTCGTTATTCACCGTACATACAACACAACATTTTATTAATCATCGCTAACTATAGCAATACAGCTCCTACTCATTTGGAATGTGACGTATTTATAATGTATATGCTTCATTTAAAAAACGATAACCACATCATATTGTGAAGATGCAACATTGCAAAAACATGTTAGTTCCGTTGATCGTGACTGATGCAGCCCCCGCCCAACACCATCCCACCAAAAGAAATCCTTGTCCAAAAGACATAAAATCTCTGCCTGATTGACACTAACTGCTCTGCTCGAGGTGCATACAGAAATATAAGAAAACGTGCGTACGAATGTTCCTCATAGTTTTCTACAGCAAATTGTAGCTTGTTGCAATTCATAATTACTCAGCCAGTTTTCGATAACATATTTAATTGAAATTTTCTGCCTAATCCAAAGTGTTTCGGATGCAATGAAGATATATTTGAAATCAGACATGTCTCATGTCATACATGACATTTTGCCTTTTCCCTTTGTCACCAGCGAGTACACACAAAGCGAAAATACGGCAATTTTATTATGGCTCTACTATCCATCTTGGGTTTTTTTACCTACCTTCTTGATAGGACGAGGGGAAACTTTGATGTTGTGTATCATCTTTGTGTCCACTGGACGGAGTTTGGTGAACATGTCGGTAACATTCTTATTCCCCCTCATTGTTCTTTGAGACTGCACTGGTCACTCCAATATCCAGCAATGTCCGCAAATATTACGGATCAGATTTTAACATTTACACCAGCTAGGGCGTCATCCGAAGTATAATTTCATTAATTATTCAATAAATGTATTATTGATGGTTTGTATATCATGAAATCGGTATTTGGTGCAAGTCATAAATCAACGACCAAGCCCGGTCACGTCGCCCCTAATGACAGACAGGATTGCCCGTGATACAATATGTAGATAAATCAATACGCATCATATCAAGGGAATACGGCCATAGTATCATTGAAATTGCAAATCGAAATTAACAATATAATTGATGGCTTGCATAAGTGTGCAAGTGATGTACACAGATGCACTGATAGTCAGGGGCGAGTAGTGTTTAGCATGGTACACTTCACGTACGTGTTTCGGCAGTACTAGTGGAGACAACCCCTACAAACGTGCATAGTCTCCAAAATGTATATTCACGTGTACCTGTAATTGTGTATATGTGTACAGGTGTGTGTGTGGGGGGGGGGGGGGGGGGCCCTTTTTTCAAGGNTGTCTTAATGTTGTTAATTTATAGAAAATTAACAGTGTTAAAAGGCCGAGTATGAGAGTTCGTACGTCATGTACCTTGAATGTAGTAAGTTCGTGTCTTAATGTTGTTAATTTATAGAAAATTCTCAACCAATTAAGTGACATCAGCTCAGCAACATCGTATGTTAACAGACTATTTAACTTCATACAAGGACCATACTATACGTATACATGGTACTTCAGTAACTAAAGGTTCAAATCCCCCGTTCCTGGTTGTAAGAATTTAAAACCGGCTTATTTGAATGGGAATGGGTGCATATATCATAAAGAATTTTATGATAAAAGTGCTAAATTTGAACTTTAATTTAATATAGCATTATATTCGTTATTTGGCGTATTTTAACCTACAAACTTTCATTTAATCTATACCATCATGTGACATAAATAAAATTAATATCCTGGAACTATATGTGTAAATTGTTTCTCCGGAACTTGTGTCAATTTAGATAAGTTCTATTGGTGAAGCTTTTCCTTTAAAGTCGACATGTGTCATTGTTGTCAGATTAACTCAAGCATTTACTTTGTCCATCTTATACCATATATCTTTCATCTTAATTATATTACGTAACAGGATTAACTGGTCATAGGCCAGATCGGACACAAGATGTTAATGAGCGGAATTAATGGGAAAATGTTAACAATTATTTTTAACATGTATCAAGGCATTAAGTCAAATATATCTTTTAATGGTGAATGTTCTGGTTAATTTCCATGTGAAAATGGTTTGAGACAAGGAGAAAATCTATCTCCCTTTTTATTCAGTCTGTACTTAAACGATCTAGAAGAGTTTATGGTCCAAAATAACGTTCAGGGTTTGACAAACCTTAGTACTAAATTAAAAAAATAATCTACATGTGTACATAAAGCTTTTTATTTTACAATATGCTGATGATACACTACTTTTCTCGGACTGTCCAGTTGACTTGCAACTACAATTAAATGTATTCAGTGAATACTGTATACAGTGGAAATTAAAGGTTAATATAGGAAAAACCAAATGTATAGTGTTTAGTAAACGACGTAAAAACAATAGAAATGTATTTTTATTTAATAATGAGGTGATAGAGTTAGTGGACAATTTTACCTATTTGGGTACGGCATTTAGTCGAACTGGTTCATTCAATGAAACGAAAAAATACAATATTAAAAAGGCTACTATAGCAATGTATGACGTTATAAAGAAAGGTAGACTACATAATTTATCAGTTCATTGTATATATGATTTATTTAACAAGATTGTAAAACCCATACTGTTGTATGGTTGTGAAGTTTGGGGTCTTTCTGACCTTAAGGTAATTGAACGTGTACATTTAAAGTTCTTTAAATTATTACTAGGGTTAAAATGTAGCACCCCTAATTATATGGTATATGGAGAACTAGGTACTAGTCCACTTGAAATAACAGTAAAAACAAGAATAATATCATATTGGTCACAATTGACTCATTCTAAAGGAAATAAAATTAATATTATATAGTATAAATTTCTTTGCCATCAACATAATGTTGATGATAAACCGGTTCCATATATAAGCTTTATTAAACGTATTTTAAATGAATGCGGTATGAGTTATCTATGGAATGTCCAATATACTTCAGAATGTAATATCACATGGCTAAAGCATGTTATTAAACAAAGATTGTACGACCAGTATATACAGAAATGGCAGAGTGATGTACACACTTCATCAAATGCTACATGTTATAGGATTTTTAAAAATAATTGTCATTTTGAAAATTACTTAGATATTTTAAGTGATACAGATAGAGTTACATTTTGTAAAATTAAGACTACTAATCACAAATTCATTGTTGAAACCGGCAGATGGCATAATATACAGTATAATGAAAGAAAATGTCCACACTGTAACAGTCAGCAAGTTGGCGACGAATTCCATTACTTGCTTGAGTGTCCGTCACTAGCTGGGTTTCAAATTTTATATATAGACAAATATTTTTGGACGAGACCAAATGTAATTAAGTTTTATGAATTGATGAATATTACTAATATAAAAACACTGAAGAAACTTTTTACTTTTATTAGAATAATTTATAACAATATTTGACCTCCTCGATATAAATATGTATATATTGTGAAACAGTACTGTGTACTACCGACTACGAACACTACAATTACTATATATTATATTGTAAATATGTTTCTCTATACAATGTATTGTGAAAGAGAATAAAGTTGAATTGAATGTAGAGTTAGGAGCTAGGACTGTACGGGTGTGTTTTTGGATACTCCAGAAATCACCTACCGACCTAGAGAAAGTTATTTTAATGAATTTATATTTGGACCATACAACATCTCCAGAACTTTTACTTTTCAAATTGTATAACAATACCCTACAAACGTGTTGTTATACATACATGTCTTACAGACATTTTCTAGTTTGATAATAAAGTCTTTGGAACATGACCACACACAGAATTAAAACACGCTCAGAGAGCTATATTATTCCATATATACTATAGAATTGAAAATATTGCAGTATATTTCATTAATCAATTAATTACAAATCCCTCGGATTATGTTAGATCTCCATTACTTTGCTTGACCAGAGGAGCTATCCAGCCAGAATCTATAAGCTCCACCTGGACGTACCTAGATCACGAAAACCAAATGACCGAGCAGATGGCATTTATTGTTGAGCGCGGATTACTGGAGGGTCATGTCAGGGGAATATTATCTGACCTGGACATTAATTATTAGGTATTTGTCATTATCTAGTGACGAAGATTGTATGGTAGATGTATATATAGTGAGTTAAAATAGAGTGGCTGGTGCCAAGCGTTGAAAATAATGCGCTTACTTCTGTCGCAAATGGTTTGCTTAAAAACTAATTTTATATTATAAAAAGAAATACGTAAGCAATGCATGCATGTATGTAACCCTAAACAGTGATTATTTCAAGAAATCGAGTGTATCGTAGAGAAACGGAATAACTAATCTAGATTTAATTTTATTGGAAGAAAAAAAATGTACAAAGAAATATACAACACATAAACAAAAAAGTAAAATCGGCAGTGCCGACAAAGAATTGGTACATTTTTATTTACGACGGTTTTTCAAAACACAGAATAAAAGCAGAGAAAACAAAGCTCTATTTGTTTTCGTGCCGATTTCTGGTATTAAAAGCATCTGTTCAAATGATATGTATAAGTGATCTACTTGTTAGAAATATCACTAACTTTATCGAAATATTATTTGGCATGAAAATTTTAGTAGAAGACCGGTACATATGGCAAGCCGTTTTAACATTTCTTCTTCTTCATCTTCTTTCACATAAGGAACTAATCTCCTAGTATGGCGCGAAGACTATTCCTTTGCGCATGTACGGATACAAATGATGATATAATATTGATACATGAACTGTACATTTGTACAATTTAAAAGAATGGCAAATGATATAAAAATACATATAGAATACTTGACACTTAAGTAAAGGCAAATACTGCATCAATGGGTCGGGGGGTCAACAGAGCACGCGACAGGAAAGTGATTTATAGTTTGTAAAGAGTGAGATTGACATACACAATTATACAAATATAGGAAGTTCATTATAAAGAGTTAAGTCTTCGGCCCCTGGGCGACTCAGGGGAAGCAGGTATATAAACACACAGTGGTAGCCAAAGTAAGTTAGCTTCAGCGGGAGTATGATCCTGTCTCTAATGCAGTGCATGTTCCTGTAGGTGCTGTTGACTGGGGGGAGAAGGGGGCGGGGCCTTATTCAGTTGATGTGGATTTGTAAAGGACTATAGCGAGTCGTGTGTAGCTATGGTTGCTGAGAGTTGATTCCAGTCCATGAGTGTCCGAGGGAAGGAGTTGTAGCATTCATTGTTGGTGCAAAACGCTTTAAATTTGTGTTTGCCTCTGGTTCGGGCGTCAGAGGTTTGTAATATATGGTCGGTCTGCACTGCTAGTAGATTGTTTGTTATTCTGTAAAAGTTGACAAGTCTGCGGCGTTCTTCCTGCGTTTCTCCAGTGAGGGCCATTCTAGTAATTTCAGCATTCTGCTCCTGGTGTTCTAGAGTAATAGTCATTGAAGACATACCTGGCTGCTCTACGTTGGACAGATTCCAGTTAGTTGATGTGATCACTCGAATAAGGGTCCCAGCCTGAGTCTGAACTGGCATACTACAACTGGGGTCTTGCTTGTGGTGGGTATGTTTGAAATTTTGTCTTTCTTGTACACCCAGCCTTATTCCTGCGGAGAAACCCTAGTGTTCTACCGTGCGCTTTCGATGTTACGTTGGAAATGCGCAAGAGAGGTCTTGACTAAATGTTACAACCAGGTATTTATATTAGTATATGATACAATCTCTAAGGTATGGTTGTGAATAGTTGTCAAATGAGGTGGAATTATTTGACCGTTTCCAAGACATTCGGCGGATAATAAAACATGTATCCTTATTGAATTGCATCTGCCAGTCAGATTCCCATATCTGTAGCATGTTTAGATCTTGTTGTAGTGTGACTTAATTACACCATATACCAAGCAGTCGTCTGCGAACAGCCTAGCATGTGATGAGACAGATTCTGGGAGATCATTGATAAAGATCAGAAAAAGAAGTGGCCCTAGTACTGTGCCCTGAGGCACGCCGGAATCCACTGATAGGGATGATGTGGCTCCGTTAACTATTACCTGTTATTGTCGGTTATTTAGGTAAGAGGAGATCCAGTCTTGTGTATTATCAAAAGCTTTTGCAAAATCTAGTAGAGTAATGTCTATTTGGTGGCCAGAAGAAATGTTTTTTTCTAGATCATGAATGGTAGAGATGTAACAACATGAAGAATCAAGTTTAAAAATAACCAGCTTTACAGGTAAAAGATATTACTGTCATTAAATAATGACACTGCTACAGAGATTAATGTTGAGATTATCAACTTCGGGATTTCCTAAAACCATGTTGGTTGTCGTTTAGGATTCTGCGGTGTTCAAGGTGGAGAATGATTAATAGAATCATCCCCTACCTTGAGGGTGTGACAGAGAAATCTCCAACCCGAGGAGTGATGTATTTTGTTTGTTTAACCCGAGGCTCTGCCGAGGGTTTGACAAACAAACAAAAAACAACCGAGGGTTTGAGATTTCTCTATTACACCCTCTAGGTAGGGGATGATTATTTTTCTCCGATCCTATTATTTCAGTCACAGCTCCACCGACAGTAGCAGTCTGCCATGTTTGTACTCCACCTATAGGGGGTGTCTTAATAGAATCATTCACCCCCTTTGGGGTGAGATAGGGGAATCTCAACCCGAGGGGGAAGATTCTTATGTTGCCAAACACGAGGCTTTGCCGAGTGTTTTGCAACATAAGAATCTTCCCACGAGGGTTGAGATTCCCCTATCTCACCCCAAAGGGGGTAAATGATTCTTTTTCTCTTACTTATACCCTGTTTTCCCCAATGTGTATCATATTCACAATGTAATGATAACGTTAAATTCAGGGTTGACGTGACGTTGATGGATTGTTGACGTGACGTCATTGTATTGTTGCAGTGACGTCATACCATTGTTATGAATAGGGGAATCCCCTCGTATCAACCCTAGGGCGGAGACAGATAAATCTAGCACCGGCAAAACGGGAGATAAATCTGTCAGGTGTGGGAGAAAAGCTGATCTTTCCCGGCTAAAACGGGAGACACACCCTGTGAAGGGCGGGAGAAATTGTTGTGAATGATGTGATCCAAACGTTTGCCACATATCGATGTAAGAGAGACTGGGTGGTATAAAGAATGCTTCATATATTTTTTTGCCACAAAAAAATATGATATCCGGCTATTTTTGACAGCAACCGTGAACCTATTCTAATTTTGTACAGTACCACCGGAAGTGTAAAACCGCATGTGGTTTGTTTACAATATTTAGGTGAGACGTTCCATGAGACAGATACTGATATAGGTGTCTGCATGTCTAGTCTACCACCGCTTGTTCTGACACCTGAAGTTAACAACCATCTGAAGTGTTCACTGCTGCAGTCGTGGGTATGATCAAACACGATAAGCCTTTAAAATGGTTCAACCACAGGCACTCAACTGCTCAACGTTGGTTCGAGTGAGAAATATTATTTTTGTTTGTTTACATACATGTACAATATAGACAATATGTACATTACATATATATAGACATTTCTAATTTTCGTAGTGTTATACATTGTCTATAATATGTATGAAAACAAACAGAAATAATTTTCCTCGCCCGATCTTCCTCTTGCCAAGGTTGAGGCTGCGCCGGAAAATCAGGGTAACGGGTTGTTTCGCCCCAAATCCCGTTCGCCCTAAGGGTTGTTTCGCCCCAAAACCCGTTCGCCCCAGTTTGTTTCGCCCTAAAAAAATGTTTTTTTCTTTAAGTCATAAATATCATGTTAAAAGTTAAAAAACTTACATCCCTGCAACCAGTAATGTTGTTCTTTATAAAATGCACCTTTACATGTTTTACTGTTAAAAATGTAAAATAATAAATACTTATACAACTTCTAACACGGTCTACAAACGAAGTGTAGTTCCGTGCCATTGCGTACGGCCTCCTTGTACATGGCCAAGGAATTTAAATACCTGTCAAAATAGAATATAATGATAAGATATGGACATATAATGAAACTAAATTAATTTCTCTAAGTAAATAGATACGTATATTTATGACAAGTTACCTACTCAAAATTATCTTCTCAAATATGCATATTAATTTTTATTGGTCGGTACTATCAAAACTTCTCAACATGATCTCCAATTAGCAAAAAACAACACGGACGTGCGCAGAAATCAAGTAAAGAAAACATCGTCACAGGGCGACGATTATGTGTACACTAGACTAAATGTGTTAACATGGGAAAATAATATTGTTGCATACCCCGCAATGTAATTCAAATAACACCATATCTAAAATTAATATATATGTAATAATGTGTGTCGGCGTGAAGAAAATTACATAAACCGTTTTTTGATTTACAGTGTACTTTATAATAACAACAAAAACACATTTTTTTTAATAAACTGATTTTAATGATGTGAAAGACTAAGAAGACTTAATTTGTGACTTAAAACAAATAAAAATGAAAAGAAAATACTAAACAATGTTTCGCCCTAAACATTTTGTTTTAGGGCGAAACAACCTGGCGCGAAACAACCTAGGGCGAACGGGATTTGGGGCGAAACAACCTGGCGCGAAACAACCTAGGGCAAACAGGATTTGGGGCGAAACAACCCGGAACCTGAATCAGGCCTCATGGTTCATTAATTAACACATATGATAGATGACTGGTACCCAAGTTTTCTTCTGGTCCCGACACACGACTCACACGACTTAGACATTTTGACAGATAGATGTCTGGTTTCCTCATTTTGACAGATAGATGTCTGGTTTCCTCATTTTGACAGATAGATGTCTGGTTTCCTCTGGCCCTGACACCCGACTTAGACAATTTGACAGAAATACGTTACGTATCGTCGATGACATCAAACTGTCAAAATGTTGGAATATGGTGTCAGGGCGAGAAGAAACGCCGGCTACATAATGTGACCAAGCAGTTTCTATGCCCGTCTATTTATAGCACACATACATTACACTGTGATATCCCTAGTACGTCTCTGAGTACTGTTACATGTGAACAATCAATAGAAAATAGTTTTTTTTTCTACATTTTTGAATCGCAGCAAAATGTTTGGATATATTTACAATTACTAAGAATAAACAATGAAATGCACTGAAAAACATGTAAGGACACTATTACTTTTAAGTTATTTTAGGTTAATTTGGGGCCTTATACAGGCCACTTTCTGCAGATAATTTTTGCTGTGTTTCCCAAAAATCACTTTATTTCCCCAAATCATGATTTTTGTGGGTGATATTTCCCAAATCAACAGGCAAAGGCCCCTGTGGAACGGAAGTAGAAAAATCACTGCTTTTTAACACTGTCTGTTGATCATCATGAGTAGCCAGATGAACAAGACCACATGCCAGTGCATTAAAGTCATTTTGGTCTCTGTGGAGTATAACATATAGATAGATAGATAGATAGGTAGACATTCACATGATTTTGGTAAACAGACAATGATGAAATTTTGCATACAAATATTATCAAAACATTTACCTTTTCCATGTTACTTCTTTTGTTTTTTTAATCTAATAAAAAAAAAATATCCCTGTAGTAAAAAAAAACTACTTTTCCGCTTAAAGCTTTTTTTGAGTAAAAAATAATACTAATTTAGGCGTTTTTTCTTAATTTCTTTTCAACATTTTTGCAGACGTGTGTAAACAGGTTTAGCACATGTACATAAACAGGCCTAGTCCTCGGACGATATAGTATGCACTAAAGTCTGAAACACATAAATACTTTATTACTACATGTACCAAACATGTATATATAAGTATACATACTCGGTATGTTTTCCAGTTAACAAAAAAATAATAATTAAGGCCCTATGCAATATCACAAACAAACAGTGGCCAATATATAGAAGGTTTTTAACATATATAAGTTACACCCATCTAATAAAAATAATATCAGTAATCCAACCAGCCTGATCAAGCCAATGTAGGAAAGGTCTAACATACCATACTGTATGCTGCCTGTCAGAAACTTTTTTGACAGACTTCAAGTTCTTGTTTTCTTTTTACTTATTTATATAAACTTACAAAAGTAGACTAGTCATTACACAAAGAGATTGCTGGTGGTAGGTACATCAGAAGTGAGTTAAGGCAAATCATCGTGACATGAATTATAACATGTATGAGGTAAACATAATATTCTTTATTTGTTTTTGTTATTTTTTATCAGCAATTGTCCAGCCCTCAGGAAGATGGATCAGCCAAGTATGATAAACTTGTTAGAAAGCTTGGGACACCTCCTCTATTCACCACCCTGAGGACAAACCCAATGGCGGGAAGGACACACAAAGACTTGCTAGATGTAGTGAAGGCAGAAATAGCTAAAGTGATCAACATTTTACGATTTCTTTCTTTTTAGTTTTTAATTTTTCATTTACTCAGAATTGTGATATATGCACACACATACTATATTGAGGTATACAGATACATGTACCAGTTATATAAGTAAACATGGGATGTCCTAAACAAAAGCTGTCATCTTGTCCTCATCGTTCAATACACAATGCTGAAATGTTTGTTCAACCTTGATGATACTCTTTCTCAATGAATTATTGTCTTAAGTGAATATAAGCATTTGTATACTAAGCTTATATTCAATATATTGTTCTTTTTTATATTGATCTTCACCTATATGTACACTACCGCCAATCACTTCACATCAGAATGTCTGATATGGTATAAATATAAATTTGGTCCTGGTGAAAAAATATACAACATCATGGACTTATTCTCGTATTATGGTATCAGATAAAACTCTAGTAGGATGCCTAACTGATCTGAATTTTAAATTATTCTCTTGAGGAAAGAATTACAATGAAAAGGGATGGCAGGAGCCCTGTATCTACTATCACTCTGTAGTGAAGAATCTTATTGTGGTGGATGGAAGGGGACCAGACCTGGATCTTCAGAAGGTGTGGTAACCTCAATGCATAAGGAATTAATTGCAGCAGATGGAATGTGTTGAAATTATATGTAATCAGTGTTTCCTATTTTATATAATGCTTTTATGCAAGTAGATAAAATCTGGATTGATGTGAAAAAGTCAAATATTTGGTCTAAAGTATATTTTTTCTGCTTTTAAAAAGATTGAATATATCCTAGAATGGGACTGGGTCAGTCACTGGCACCAGGTACCGCTATTGGTTAGATATCTGTCTAAAGTTTGAAGGGTTCCAGGTTAAAAGTCCAGTCTGCTGTCGGTGTGCATTTCTCTTTCTCCTGTTGCAAATATATGAGTTATCTCCCTTATAGCACAATGGAGTCAGTCTTTTCGACTCCATGTTAACCTTTTTTAGACATATGTTGAGAATGTCCTTTACTTTTCTTCTGTTTGACAGCATGACAAGCAGGTTGTGGTGGACTTGGCATGTGGGATGGCAGTGTTACGCGGGGCTGATGTATTTGCACAGGGAATTATGGGATGTCCATTGGGTAGGTGAAATACTAAACAACATTGATATAGTAATTATAAGGTGGTAAACTTTGTATTTGAAAGAAAATAGCAGGCCAGGGGGATCTTTCTCAAATTTCCTATCAAGGATCATTTCGGTTCTTATTTGTGCATGTTTAATTTTCTGTTTGATTTGCATTAAAATGATTCTCAACAGGCAAGCATATTTTATGTACAAGATGTATCATACCTCAGACTTAAATAGTTCCGTGATTATACTCAAACTGATATTTTCAAAAGATTCACACTCATCACAAACAAATACACAGAAGTGTCTTCATGATTGATCGATCGATCAAAATACAGATTTAAGATAGGGACATTTTACATTGATATGTTTCCTTTGCTGTAACAGGAATGAGTGAGGAAGATGCTGTGTCTGTGTATTGTGATGTCAACCACACCTGTCTAAAGGGAGCTACGAAATTTCAGGAAGGATCCATGGTGTTTGTGGGAAATGGCACTGCTCGTGTCAGCAGGGAGAAACTGTTCTGTTCCAAAGAAAGTGTCAGGTGATTAATTTGTTATAAACTCCCAAAACACTGTCTGGTTTAGATTTATATGATACAGAGTGACAAATGATACAGTGGTACATATCATGTGCTGACATTTAAATGGAGTGTTAGCATTGTATTAAACTTTTATTTTTTCCAAACAGCTTTAATAATTGGACATCGACACATCGTTAAAGTTTTTGAGCAGGCTTGTTTTGCATCACCACACTTAATAAGCTCTTGGTTATTACAACGGTGAGCCATTATAGAGAGTGCAGGCAATGTGCTGAACCATTATCTAGATTCTAGGGGCCAAATGGGTTTTCTTTAATTTCAATATATAGTGGAACATTTTATAATGAGATGCAAGTTTTAAAGATTTCATTTACTATATGGTGATTTCAAAGCTCTTTTATTGTAGTAGAAATAATTGTAATATTTGGATAGACATATATGACACTGTAACTTTTCTGTAGCCCATATTTTGTATGGTACATCAACCAAAAACGATATTCAAAATATCTCAGTTTAGCAACCTACAACATGTTGAGATACATGTTTACTAAAATTTCTAACTTAAAATATCTCGGGGAATGTATGTTGTTCTCTAACAGCTTTTGGAAATATGTCAAATTGACATGGGATGGGTGTATATTTCCCGCTCTGGTTGCTCTTGATTAAAAGGTTGGTGGTAAAAACAAATAAAATTCCAGCAGAGTTGTTGTGGGTTGAACTTTTTCTTTTATGTTTATATCACAGTCTCTCTAATTAGTGTAGTCTTTGCCTTTAAATGAAGTTTTGTCCGAGATTTCAGAAGCATTGTCAGATGAATCATTTGAACTTCTTTATTTTATCATTTCAGTGGTGTTGGAATCAGTATGACACAGCCTTTATTTGAAGCCCCATGTCTGACAGATCTGTGCTCTGATCTTATCTTTCCACAAAATCTTCCCTCTGTTGTGGTCGGTCAGACTCTTGATCCCAAACAAGGGGAGACCATCCTGGATATGTGCGCTTCGCCAGGTAACTTTATTATCCTTTTCTTTTCTTTCCTTTTCTCCTCCTCCCTTTTCTGTCCTTCTCTCCATTCGCTCTTCTACCTCCTCGACCTCAGTCCCTCTCCCCCTTTTTTCTTCCTCTTCCAATTTTCTCCTTTTCCTTTCCATATCATTCCCTTCTCTTTCTCTCCTCTCTCTTTCTCATTTGTCCTCTCTCTCCCCTGTGGGTCCCATTCCCCATCCCCAATTTCCTGAACCTTCCTTAAATATGGAGATTCCATTACTTGAAACTTTCCAGAGTAAAACATTGCTGAATTTGAGGAAAATGACATTAACTTCCCTTAACGCCGATAATGTTTTCGTGTGTAACTAATTAAAGATACCGTGCCAACCTCAAATAAATATTAAAAAAACCACTTCCTCCCCCCCCCCCCCCCCCCCCCTTAAAAATGCTTTAAATTAGTGATAAACTGTCTAAAGCGAGCTGCAATCATTTTTATTTTTTTTATCAAATCTGATATATTTTCCAGGTGGAAAGACCGTGCATATTGCTTCACTTATGGCAGAAAAGGTACGTAGATATTAATTGGTTTACCATTTTGCACACTGTGGTAGAGCATATCAGGTCTCAAACAATTTACATGTATATAGAATGGATCACAAACCAAAAAGCCATCATTTAGCTCAAATTCGACGCAAAGTAATAACGACACATTCATGCTTTAATGCCATGTGTGTAAGAAAAGTATGCAATGTATATTGCAATAAATGATAAGCAAAATGTTGATGAGAAATTTAATTTATTGAAAATTTATTCTGTCTAGTGTTATTCAAAATATTATCCCTGTGTAAATATTTAGGTTAAGTCAGCAATTTGCAATCAAAATCAAATTATGGAGATTTTTTTTCTGTTTGTTAAAGGGTCGACTGGTTGCTTTGGATAAATCACAAGCTAAAATTGATAAAATCAAGAAAAATGCTGAAAACTGGAATTTAAATTTTATTGAAACCTATCCATTTGATGCAAGACGTTCATGCACAGATTCTGCTGGTGAGTATTAATACATAATCCACTTATATGCAGTTTTTGACCGTTTATGACGGGTACCAAGTTTGTTGAAATAAATGACCTTCATTCATATTCAAGGTCACAGGGGTCAATTGTCTTCAAAAACCTTTAAACAACTTCTTCTGAATAACCATAAGTACCAGGATGATATCTGGGCAGTAGCATACTAGGATGATGAAGCCTACCAAGTTTGTTAAAATGAATGACCTTCACTCTTCAAGGTCACAGGAGTCAAATATAGGAGACAAATATGTTTTAAATCTTGAAAAAACTTTTTTCTGAGAAAAAAACCCGAAAAGGTGCAGGATGATGTTATTTTGCTAGTAAAATGCTGGAATGAAGGGCTACTAAGTTTGTTCAAATGAGTGACCTTGACTTGTATTCAAGGTCACAGGGGTCAAATATGTTTGTAATCTTTTAAACGATTTCTACTGAATAAGCAAAAGCCCAGGGTGATGATATTGGGCCCGTAATGTGTTAAAATGAATTACATTGACTTAAATTTAAGGTCACATGGGTCAAATTTGTTTAAAATCTTTGTTTAAAATCTTTGAACAATGAGGCTCAGAATGTTGTTATTTGGCCAGTAGCATGCGTGGCTGAAGGACTATCAAGTCATTTGAATGACCTTGACCCACTTTCAATGTCGCGCTTGGACAAATATGTACAAACCTTTAAATGACATAATCTCAATAAACAAAAGGTCTAGGGTGGTGATATTTGACAAGTTGAATGCTGAGATGAAGGGCTATAAAGTTTGTTCAACGTAATGACTTTTAAGGTCACAGTGGTCAAATGTTTTTTTCACCAATATAGGTCCATACTTCCTGTGCTGTGTCATAAACATTTCAACTATTTTTAATGATATGAATGATTTATTGTCTTTGCTGTTCTTTAGATCTGTGTGGGGGGCCTCCCTATCCACCAGGTATGTTTGACCGTATCCTACTAGATGGCCCATGTAGTGCTCTAGGCCAGAGGCCCTCCAGCAACAACCAGATGTCCCTCAAGTCCTTAAAATCCTATCCTTGCTTGCAGAGACAACTATTCCAACAGGTAACACTATGCAATACTCTTAGAATTTTTCGTATTGTACATATTAAGGTCTCCAGATAAAAAGTGCAAAATGAATTACAAACTTATAATAAGCTAATTAACGTTAAATTATCTCAATCCTTCAATATCTTTACTTAAAGTTTTCATTCTTTATTGACAATGTTGCTACATGAATTTAGGTCCACTTTATTGACGATGTTGCTACATGAATTTGAGGCCATCTATTGATATTGAAACAATGATGCTAATTATTTTAGTATAATAGTGAGTGACCCATTTTAATCTACAGGCAGTGAAGCTACTTAGACCAGGAGGAACTCTAGTGTACAGTACTTGTACTATCACAATGGAGGAGAATGAAGAACTTGTGTTGTGGGCACTTCAAACATTTTCCTGCTTGTCCTTAGCTACAATGGTGAGTGGGAAGTTATTTCATAGAACTGAGTGACTTTCATGCAGTTTCCTGATATTAAAAGACACTCTCTGTTGGTCATTTTTGCACTTTTTAATCAATATTTGAATTGACTTTAAGGCGTTGGTATTTCATAGCAGCATCTTTAACCTTACAATTGACAAACTCATTTGAGGTATTCAAAATTTGAATCCATGCTCAGATAAGGCACTGCAATTTGCTAGAGACAGGTTTTTATACATGCTCAAACTTTTTTGTAGTAAAACAGAACAGTTTTTGTATGCTGATAACTTAAAGTAACACTTTTTCTTTATAGTCTATAGTAATTCTGATTGCCAAATAAGATAAATTCTTGGTAAAATATGTGGCTGATATACTGCTCTCCATTTCAAGGCAACAAGTGTGCTATACAGCTGTAAATGTGTTAGCTTCATGATTAAGTTTCATACTTGCTAAATGACCCGCATTCTGCGGGTCACACCCGCAAAATGAACCTATCACCCGCGACGATCTTATGACCCGCGCGGGTCATACGTATCTCCAGCATTCCGTAAATATGACCCGCAATCACCCGCATCCACGTCTTTTATTAGGATCTCCGTACTTCCGGAAATGTTCCGTTCGTGTCTCTCGGAAGTTTAGCTTTCAGTTATAGGTAAAGTCCCACTCGGAACTTCTCGGCCGATAGGTTGGAAGGAACTGGAATCGGGGCGAGGTGTTCCGAATGGTAAAGTCCGTATACTAAGTGATTTGTTTTCACAATGGCGTCCCTGTTTCGGAACCAGCCTGGCAAATTCAAAAGGTGGGTACTGTTCACTGTTACTACAATGCATATAATCCCGATCGTAGCGCTTGTCATTTAACTTTCACAAATGGCTTCTAACCCGAGAAAACGTTCGATATTTTAACGTTCATCGTCAAAAAAGAAAAAGTATGCCTGTAATTACAATGCTTCGTGGGAATAAGATTATGACTGGCTTCAGAAGAGTAATATTGGACCCGATCATGCCTATTGTAAACTGTGTACCAATCATTTTTCGGTAGCTTCGGGTGCTACGTACGATATCAAAAGGCATGCAGTTAAAGAACCCTTTGAGAATGATCTTAAGTTTGGTGTGTTGTGTAGGCTAATGAAGGCATGTTTGGTACTTTCAGTGGGTAATGCTGACTCTGAGAGAACATTTTCCATGCTGAAGAAGATCCAGACAGAAGGGAGATCTGAATTAGGAAATGATACAATATGTGCTTTGTTATGTGCAAAACTAAATCAACATGGTTCATGCTTTCAGTATGCACCTAGGAAAAGAAAAACATGTATATTGATTAAGAATATGTAATAAAACAATGAAGGTGTGATAAAATGTTTTGTTAATTTCAAAGAAGTCATTGATCTTGTCAGAAGACAAAACATAATACGCCGTAGAGCTGAGACCCCGCGAAATTATTAAATTTTCACAAAACGTTTCGTTCACGCGTTATCACCCCCCACAGAATTTCCCAATGGGGGTCATGACCCCCATTGGGAGATTCAAAGGTTAGCAGGTCTGAAGTTTATGTGTGCCCGCTGCATGCTCCCGCTGCATGCTCTACTCGCAAAAACCGCAAGCTGATTGCTTGGTTTGTATACACTCCAACAGGCAATGTTAATTTTAGAGAAAAATGATAATATTTTGTACCACAAATGCAAAATTATTTTTTATCATGTTTTATCTTTGGTACAGGAGCCTCATCTAGGAAACAAGGGAAGAGCCTGTGCCGGGCTGAGTGGAGAAGACAGAGATAAGCTACAGCTGTTTCTACCTGGATGTGATGACCAGATATCACCAGGCACGGACACTATTGGATTCTTTATAGCCAAGTTCCTAAAGTCATCAAGTTAGCAGGGGCATTTGTCTCTAGTGTTTCTCAATGTAAAGGGATTTTATTTGCAACAAGAGTTCCACAAAGCGTTACATGATACGCCCGTCAGATGTCTAATGGGCAGTGTGCCACAAAGGGTCATAAGTGCATAAAGTTATTGCGCAGAAATCATGTTCCGACAATTCTACAAAAGGCCGTAAGTTCGTAAATTATGGCTGAAGTTTGAAATGAATCCTTTCAAAATTTCTCAAATTATGAGCGGAAACTGTTACCTCAATTCTATAAAGGGCCAAAACTCCCTTAATAACAGGCGGATAATGGTTATCAAACTTGTCCAAGCTTTCATAGATATGAACCTTCCTATGGAGTTTGAAATGAATCCATTCAAAATGACTGAAGTTATTTAGCGGAAACTGTTTCAGCAATTCTACAAAGGGCCATAAATCCGTAAATAACCAGCAAATAATTTTTGGTTATTGGACTTGTCCGAGCTTTCATAGCAATGAAACTTCCTACCAAGTTTGAAATTAATCCATTCAAAATTACTGAAGCTATTGAGCGGAAACTGTTTCGGCAATTCTACAAAGGGCAATAAATCCGTAAATAACTGGCAAATAATTTTGATTATCAAATTTGTCCGAGCTTTCATGGCAATGAAACTTCCTACCAAGGTTGAAATTAATCCATTCAAAATTACTCAAGTTATTGAGCGGAAACTAATGAGTGCCCGCCCGCCCGAACCCCCTCCCGCGTGAAAACATAATACGTTTCGTCATTCGACGGGCGTATAAAAATGGAGAATCCTTTTAAGTGTTTCTGCATTGATGTTCAATCAAAAGCCATGATAGAAATATGTAGCAATGCAGTTCAAACAACACCATTTAAGATATATACACGATACTAAATGACATTTTCTATTCAAATAAGAACTAGAATCTGAGACACAGTCTGAAGTGTACAATGTTGGAAAGTTTCTAAAGCTGAGCGAGTTGATAGATAGCGTTTGATTACAAGTATCACTATTATAATATTTATTGGTGTTGGACCTCTCCTTAAGGTTTTGAAATCATGTGTTATTAAAGAAAGTCAGTAATGTCAGTGTCCAAGTCGTAGAGGTTTGTTATGTTATAAATGTATACTACACACTGTTATGTTATAAATGTATACTACACACTGCTATGTTATAAATGTATACTACACACTGCTATGTTATAAATGTATACTACACACTGCTATATTATACCTAAGTTAATATACGTTATGGTTTTGGAAACTTATGATATTTTTGCATCTATTGCTCCTAATAATTAGTCATAAATCCTATCTTAAGGAAATTTAATGGCACAGAGTATGTAGATGTGTAATAAAGATTTTGAAACCCTTGAATCTTGACGATGGGTATGTCTGACTAGGGATCGTGTTTCAAGAAGCAGCCAACTTTTAAATCAGAAGTGATCTCCAAATATATAAGCATAGAAGTAGATTTATATGTAGATAATCATAGGAATCAGAAAGTTTTTTATCCTACAAATTATTTTCAACCTGTTGTCTGTCGCTAACATTGGCAGTTTGTATACTTGTTTCTGTATCTTTGCCATCCACAAGATCCACAGGGTCTTTACGGGATTGAATCTGGAAAATATAGGGTCAAATGATTAATGTCAATTTCGTTATGAACACAAACAGTAATTGTAAATTTCTTTTTGCAAACTTTCAAAAACGTCTGTTTCCTTGGTGAAATGTGCAGATGACTAGTGTCTTGACTCTAAACCGATGAAAACAACTCAGTAAGCCACAATGTGACGAGTCATTGAAGTTAGCTTTCAGAAATCATTGAGATATTTTGCCAAATAGCACTTCTGAATGATAAGGTCAAACATGTACCAGTAGGGAAACACGTACCGGTATATCGGAAATAAAAGGGCCCAAAAGTAATGCAGTTGATGCAGCCAATTAATTTCGATACAATGTACCTTAAATGTCAGCGGATATTCCACCAATTATGTAGGGGAGCCATATTACTCATATATGATGCTTGAACTAAAATGGGTTGCAGACGTCGGAAGCTGATGGAACTATTTACATTCTTACATCTGTTAAATACAGTTTTCTTAGCCGATACAACAACCTATTCATGAAAATGCAATAAAAAGTATAAATCACTGAAACACTGTTATTGGAATATTTTTAGCTCACCTGTGAGCTTATGCCATGGTGCTGTGTCCAACGTCTGTCCTCTGTCCTACGTCCGTCCGTTGTTTTTTACTTTAAACAACTTCTTCTCGGTAACCAAAAGGCCGAGGATGTTGATATTTGGCCAGTAGCATTCTGGAATGAAGGGCTACCAAATTTGTTCAAATGAATGACCTTAACTTATATTCAAGGTCACAGGAGTCAAATATGTTTACAACTTTTGTTACAAGTTCTTCGGAATAACCAGGAGGCCTAGTGTGATGATATTTGGTCAGAAGCATGCTGGGATGGAAGGCTATAAACTCTGTTCAGCTAATGCCATTGTTCAACTATCAAGGTCACAGGTGTTGTATGATTAAATCTTTAATTAGGTTCTTGTGAATCAAACACTGATATTTTGCCTGTAGCTGTATTTTAGTCCACTTTTAAGATTACAAGTGTGAGATTAATACCAGGTGATCGATTCAGGCCAATTGGGCCTCTTGTTTATTAGGATGCACGCACCCTGTGCATCCGCATAGGATATCCGATTGAGTAATATGTATTGAATGTTTTTATGAATAAACGCCATTATGCAGAAAATATCAATGAATGTAGGTTATTTATTATTTCAACATGTTTGTGTTTTACGATTGTTTAGTCATCATATATTATTCCCTATTCTAACATGAATGTTAAACCATGTATATATATGGTTGGCCGTTTCAATACCCAAACTATTAAAGTACTTCAGGTTTTGCGCTTATTCACAAAAACGTCGACGTCTTTTGCCATTGTTTTTTAGGTCACCTGAGACAAAGTCTCAAGTGACCTATTGCGATCGCCTTTTGTCTGTCGTCCGTCGTGCGTCCGTAAACAATTTACATTTTCGACTTCTTCTCCAAAACCCCTGAACCCAGAAACCTTCCATGGCCAAAGGTTAACAAAAATAGTTGCCGGTTTGGTCTCCGGCCCCCAGGGGCCTGAGGGGCGGGGCCAAAAAGGGTCAAATTGACTAAAATTTCAAAAATCTTCTTCTCAAGACCCAGATATGGTAGAATCAAATACTCTTCATAGATGGAAGGGTCTTAAGGTGCTCTACCAAAATTGTGAATTTCATGACCCTTGGGTATCACGTTTCCCCCTGGGGAGGGGGTAAACTTTACTATAGTTTATATAGGGAAATCACATTTTGGACCAATATTTGTTTAATTTTCATTGGAAGTAATTCAATTTTGGTTAGCATTATCAGTATTGGATAGCAGTTTGATGGTATGCACATTTAAGCCCTGACTGACCCCCCAGGGCTGATGGGTGGGGCCAAAAAGGGTTGAATTGACTGAAATTTCAAAAAAAAATCTTCTCAAAGACCCAGATATGGTAGAATCAAACACTCTTCATAGATGGAAGGGTCTTAAGGTTTATGACCCTAGGGTCTCACGTTTACCCCCTGGGGAAGGGGGGGGGGGGGGCAAAATATATTATGGTTGATAATGGCAAATGATACTTTGAATATGACATGTTAATAACTTGATTGGAATTATAACCATGAGTCGACAGTTTGATATTTGAAAATTTTGAGCCAGCCCTACCCCCAAGGGCTGTAGGCCGGGGCCCAAAGGAGTCGGTGTGCTAAAATTTCTTCATTTTCCTTGTTTAGAATCAGAGGTGCTAGTTTCAAATACTTTTTAGTCTTAAATCTGTATGCTAGATATTGAATAAGGTGGTTTTATTGTTTTTTTGTCACTGAATAATATTTCTGTTCGTGTTAAAAACAAAATCACCTCTCTGTATAAATATATCAGGTGACCGTTAAGGCCCATTGGGCCTCTTGTTTTTTACCATTATGTGATGTTGTTGGACAGCAACGTTTCCTCTCGTGTCATTTGACTCATATAGTGCAGACATAAGCATATATTGTTTGTACCTTGATTGATAATACCGTTTCTTTGATTTACGATACGAAGGGAAGATAGGCTTGTAGTAGCGCCCCTATATTGCAACTCGTACCATTTGAGGATGGCGCCAGGCTCGCAAATTGGAAATCATTTTTGTCATAACATCACATCTAGCCTTATCTTGTGCATGTCATCTCTCATAAAATATAACAGCAGTATCAAGCAATTCTACGTCATTCGAGATCGATGGAGATGCACATTGTACTGTGCAATAATCATCAAATTAATTTGAAACATAAAATTACAAGTAATGCCCCATTGTTGTGTGCACATACTTTTACTTTTGTGTTTAATTCTCGTTAGCACTTCGGTGCAAGTTTTGTACAATGACCACTCATGCAAGGACAACATACTTCGGGTACATTCCCGAAGTATCATCATAATTTTCCAGGTGCTTTCGAAGTGATATCCATTGCGATTTCAATATATATATGTGTCCTCGGTGAACCTATGTAGTTTACCTTATTTTTACTTACTTACCCGGTAATCTTCATATGATTGTTTTGAATGTCTATCGGTAGCCATCTATCAAAATATATATTAAGTTGTGTGATGCCGACCCAAAACCTCAATATAGCGCAATGAACTGTGGGATAAATAGAGAATAAAACATGCCTTTTTCCATATCACACCCAGTATCAACCTGAGACTGCAATATCAGCCCGAGGGCCGAAGGCCAGAGGGCTGATATTGGTCGAGGGTTGATACTGGGTGTGATATGGAAAAAGGCATGTTTTATTCTGTTTATTACATACTTACTAAAAAAAAGCTACTATTTTATGATCTATTTTTCTTTTGAAACATTGAAAAACGAAAATAATCCAAAAGGGGTGTGATACAGGTTTTGCGGGCTGATACGGCTTTTGGGGTGTGATATGGCGAGGGCTGATATGGGTTAGAGTAATCATGTCGTATCGCATATACAAAAAAAACGTATTTATTAGTAAGTATGTAATAAATTGTAATCTAGTATGAAAATAGCAACCACATTAATTTTAAACCTCTCCTGTTACAGACTCTTTTGATTCACGAAAACAATGTTTATCTGTAGGAGGCAAAATTTCAAATGCTTATACTTTGTTTTGATGTTAAAAAATATCGTTAGCTGTTATGAATAAAATGTGTTGGAATACATCACTGTTGTACAAAATACATCACCAAGACTGTTGACCTTGGTCATTCATTTTATCGGCCATTTCACCTTTCCTTCCGATATTACGCCACTGTAAACTTTTATGAACAACCAAGGAGCTTTATTCACACAAATCAAACTTTCGATAGAAAGTCGTCTCCAAAGTACACCAATTATGCAAGAAAAGATATATTGGCCAGAATACCACAACTGTCTTTGTACTTTGACCTTATAATTAAAGGTACAGGTACATTGTAAACGTTGGGAACTGATGCTTATTGCGGAATCGACTTTTTTCAAAGTTGATGTCGTCAGCAATTCCAATATCAACACGTCAACCTATCGTAAAGCAGGGATCTTCCAACACCTGTTTTATCATATCAATTTAAGCGTTGCCTCGACTTCTTGACTTGTTTCCTTGTCTGTAGCCGTCACTCTCAGTTCCGTGTACCCAAAGTACATGGTGACATCGTAATATCTGTCACGCACCTCGCCGCCACGACTGTTTATCTCAACAACTCCGAGTTTTGTACACCCATCCATGCCCTTGTTAACAAACATTGGCACTTTCGCGCTATCTGATACGTACACCTCAACTATGTCGTGACCACAAGAGTTCAGGACTCGACATGTTTTTGTCTCGGATTTCATGCCCGGTGTAACTGGCTCACCATATTTGACAAAAGTGCTAAACACGTCTTCCAACCTCACCTGTCCATCAACGATATTTTGATGTTTTTTGCATTCTTCGGCCTCGTATTTTGCTTGATCGAAGGGTAGGCTCGAACTGATACCGTAGGAAAAACGAGTGATTCGTTCGCAAATAGTATTGGGCTTGGAGCCGTACATAACCGCTCCTTTCAACACTGCAAGGTTACATTCCAAAGGCCTGATGACGCGATGTGTTTTAAATCCCTCAACGAGCCTGTCATGCAATAAGCTACACTGAGAAAATCCTCCGACCATCAGAATGTTGGTCACTTCCTTAGCTCGTAGGTCGTGTAGTTGGCTTTCAACATGCTGTACGATTTTCCTTACTGGATCCTCAAAGAGTTTCCACATCACAGAGGAGGGAATAATTGCTTTTCCTCTCTTAATATTTATTTTGTATTTGTCCAGCAATATTGAACCTTGTGAAATATTCTCTAATATGCATTGGGGAAGGGATATGGATACTGATGACTTTTTTGCATTGACTTGTTGTTTGAGTAACTGAAACGAGTTCAGAAAATCTAAAATCTCCGATGGATATTTTGATTGTATTTCCGCCATGTTCTCCTCTCCAAGAACGTCGATCCAGATATCAAAGAAAGCCTGATTGACTTTCTCGCCCCCCACATCGCCTCCGCTAGCTTGCTGAAGTTCCTTCATAGCACCGTTCTCAATACGGAATGTTGTCATATCCACTGTTCCTCCTATTGATAGAATTAAATTTAATATTTAGTTTTAGATATTCTGTCGCTTCATATATACTTAACTCCAATCTTAAAGTATTTCTTGTCAATCGTATATCGTTACATTATGATCAGTTGTTTTGGCGTGTGAATAGAATACTAATAACTGAGATTTGTTGTTTTGAGATTATTATGTTGATGCCATATCTCATCCGTTTTTCTTTCATCTATCTAGTGTTATCACTATTTATAAGTTGAGTAAGGAAAACCAGTTAAGGAATTGGAGGAAGGAAAACTTTGCAAATATTTTCAATTACATGTTTTTTATGACTTTCGTTAAAACATTATCTATTAGCATTTGACAATTTAAACGGCTATTAATTCAAATCTACGTACCTCCACAATCAACGACCAGAAATGAACATCCCTCGTCAAACGGTTTCACCGTCAATGAAGTGGAATTTGAGTTTGTAACACACTTCTGTTCGTGGTCTTTACAAAAAAATGCAGCTACTTCTGGTTCTAAAGCCAACATTAGCTGTGCATGAGGTATTCCAGCCTAATGGAAACAAACTAAACATTTTAGTATAATTGTTAAGACCATGTGTATGTAATGTGTACAATATAAACATTTTATTACAATTGATAAGACCATGTGTATCTAATGTGTACAATATAAACATTTTAGTCCAATTGTTAAGACCATGTGTATGTAATGTGTACAATATAAACATTTTAGTATAATTGTTAAGACCATGTGTATGTAATGTGTACACTATAAACTTGTTCGCGGACATATCTCAAATGTACACGTGTAGGAAACTGAGACAGCTTAAATGTTCACCTTATAACTTATTGAATGTTTTATTCGGTATTTGTTGATTGATCGATGCTTCAGCCCAGCAAGTGTTTGTTTTCAATACATATTATAGACCTTACGATATCAGACCTCCATATCAGATATTTACTAATAGAATCTATCGCTACTGGTTGTGTAAGATAGAGAAATCTCAACCCGAGGACCAAGATTTTTTGTCCAGACCGAGGCTTCTGTCACTATGTATACCAAAATATAGATATTCGAAGAAGTTGATTGTAGTTTAAATATTTATCTTTAAAACAAATCAGATCTGATAATTACCTTCTCTGCAGCCATTCTCATAAACTGTTTGGCCTTATCACCCCATATGGCTGGCACTGTCAACACCCACTGGACATCGGTCTGCCCTAATATGTCACCAAACGCGTTTTTGAATTCTGCCAAAGCTCTCTCTCTCAGAAATTGGATAGCCGCGGAAAATACGTTTATTGCTTTGATCCTTTTTTCAAAATAATCCAAGACATTCATTCGTTGGGAGATATTCTAATAAAAACAAAGATACAGTTATTGTGATTTTGCGCTGTACAATAAACACTCGTCGATCAGTTGCTTCATAACCCGACAGTGAGGAATGACTGAGGATGAAATCATATTTATAAGCAGAGGGTAAATATGGTTTATTTTCAAATGAAAGCACTGTCTAACTTAATAATTCAATCAGTTAACTGGGCATTTTAACCTCAATGTCATTTTGTTAGTAACAATTCAGGTATTTGTGGCGATGAGGTATTATATTCATGAAAGAAAACCACCAATTGTAATCTATTCATGTCAAACGTTATGGCATCTCACAATGTATTTAAAATTAATAAAAACAAAAGGTCATTACCTCTTCTTTGTAGAGTTGCATTTTGAAATGCCTGAGGAAGTACCATTTGTTAGCATCGCCCTGTTCTTTGTCCCGAGTATAGATATTTGTAACGTCAGATTCTTGTTCGGTTTCGCCATCGTCAGTTAACAAATCAGCGAATTTTCGCTCTGCCTCATATCCAAATGAATCGAACTCTCCTTGTGGGTTGAAGAGGATAGATGAGATTGTCTTGTTCATGACAAGTTGTGTTTCGCCAAAGTACCAGTGTGGAGCATGTATCCGCGTTGGATGGTCGATGCAATCGGCTCTAGTTTGGAAGGCATACCCCGAGTAGGAGGTACCCAAATCAATGGCGACGACTGCCAGGTAATCTCGGCTCTCCGACATTTCTATAAACAATCGTTCACCGGATTTATTTCTTACATGTATTAGAATATAAATAATACAGTACGCCTACATAGAGTCATCGTGCTTATAATGGTTGCTTTTTGCAACATTGACCCTGTGAAAGTCGCTTCAGAAATATCCTGTAGTTGAATTTGCGTAGTTTCAACTATATACCACCAATGATATGTGTACGACAGTGCTAGCAAAGACCCGAAAACAATATTAACTTAATACCCTGTCTTGTGGTAGAAAGAAAATGAAAAAACTCCACAATAATAAAAGAACGAACCCGGGACCAGATAGCCTATCAGCTATATCCAACTTTCTACAGAAAGGCAATAGTAAATTTCTTGGAAGCTGGAATAGACGATAATAACCTTTCGTTAAAGTACAGGTTAGCAACGACAATCTTTCTCCATTCACAAACTGGTGATGGAAATTAACAAACGTGATGGAAGTACATGTATGTAAGTATAGGTAGCGCGACGGTGACATGTACATTTACATAGGCAACGTAAACTCCATCTTCGAAATTTAAGGGTTACTGTGTCGATTCAAGTATTTCCTTGTATCTTTATTTTTTTCTCATAATATAATAAAAAGTCATTATACTTCTGAGAACTGTTACTTGTCATCCCGCATACATTATACATTATTCCTGTGATATCAGCGTAATGCTTTTATTACAAAAGATAAAAGTAAATGCCGCAATAAAGTAGCCCGAGTGTCCTCTGGCTCTGACACCAGACTTAGACATTTTGACAGAAAGATGTCTGGTGTCAGGGCCAGAGGAAACTCGGGCTAGCAATAGAGTAATATTTTGATTAACCGGTTTTTATCTCGGATACTTTCTACTTAGTTATCTGCCGGACATATGTACCACTGTGTATCTGACTTGCGATTGATGATGTCTAGAACCAATCAAACAGACGTCATCATTATATAATGAGAAAATCCTGTGGTGGAGAGATATATTTAAGCCTTTGAATTTTGGTTATGCGTTGCCTCTACTAGTATAACTATATTGCTACAAGACATAAAAAAGTATATGTACCACAGACTGTATTAAACATTCCGGGAAAGGATATATATATATATGCTATCCAAGAAAACAGCATTTAATATGTGTCGAAGTTACTTGTGTAAGAAACACCTAGGGAAATCTTACCTTTAATGCAGAAATAGTTGTGTACAAAAAAATAGGGACAGGCATTCGCGAAGACATTTGTTATAAGGATGCATTCCTTTGCGAATTATTTGACAGTACAATCTGTGTTAAACTTTTTTATATGAATTTATATATGGTCGAAGGCGGATTGCAATATGTTACCATAAGTATTTGGGCCGAGTGACCTGCGAACCTGATATCATATAACTACAAACGAGTAACAAACAATGTGAGTTAGTCAAACATTACAGCAAATGGTGCATATATAACTACTATAACCGAAGGAGGAAGTGCCCTTCTATATATAGCTACAACTCACTTGTATGTTATCATCTACAGATAACAGCTATTTGCAGTGTACGTGTCAAACTGGTATGTAGTGTACTTTTAAAAGATATGTTTTCTACAAACTCATTCTACAGACCCATTGTGGTCTAGAGGCCAATAACTCTTTGTAGTTCATAGATTGATTGACTCCTTTGAGGTCCATTGGTCGATAACCCCCTTGTGATTCATAGTTCATAGACGTACATTACTCGATTAAGGACGATAGAGATATATATTTCTTGGAGAAATACATTATATTAAAATTATCACACCCGGCCCAAATACTTATGGTAACATATTGCAATCCGCCTTCGACCATATATACATTCATATACCAAATTATATAAAAATGATAATATAAATCTTATCTGTGTGTTCTAACCCAGACAACACATACTGTTTCAACATATAGACAATGATATAACATGAATAACAAATATTTCTGTTTTATATAAGATATCACTCGTTCCTATGCAACCCCTCGTAGGGTATTACATTTTAAGTTGGTCTACCATAGTAAAAACCGTGTACATAGGCGTGTATCGAGTAGCATGCAAAACCGTGCTTCCAGTTATATTCGTCTAGCTTTAGACATACAAGATCAAGCTGGCTAACAGTGGAATCACATATATTAACCAATGACTGAAGTTATCCTTACCTTTCAGCTTCTGCTAGACTGTGCATTTGTGTACAGATACACACCGACAAATGATTTTTTAACTTTTGTGACGTAATGTTAAGGTTATAGATCAAGTTTCTATTAATAGAAATCTTATCTGTGTGTTCTAACCCATACAACACATACTGTTTCAACATATAGACAATGTTGTGGAAAGGTGTCAATAATAAAGAAAGTATCGTCCCGTGGTAAATAGCTTTGGTAGGATATGGTACAATGAAATTAATCATCATTTCTGTTATTCAAGGTTAGTAGAGTGAGTTACATTTCGCTAATGCAACCGTAAACCTATATGTAACAATTTTCAAAATATGAATCTAAGGAAGTGTTCAAGCTTATACATGTGGTCGGTGTGATAATTAGGGGACTTAAACACTTCCTGTTTCAGTGTACAGTAGTTCGATTGTCATTTGTTTGGCCCTAAACAGACGAGGCAGCTGTATGGTACAGCGATTTAATTTTTGGCATAGTGTATCTATTATCAAATTAATAGGAGCAACTAATTGAGTTTTACATTCATCATACAATCCCATTGTACCTAGTATACAAAAACGACGCTTAGTTAAAAAGTACATTTTCCTGTTTTCAGCATGATATTTACATACATTTTAACTTCTTTTGACTATCTACGTAAGAGATCATGTCTTGGTTAATAGTTTTAACCTCCAATCCACTACTTCATGTCACGGGTTCTGTACAATGATTTATACAATTATTACCCAAGTAGTGTTTGGAAGGCCAGGTTCAACATTTTGTTATTGAAAGATACATCTTACACAAACGTGCCATTGCATATTTGCCAAAAATTACTGACACTGCATCATAACGCTGTTTCGTCCTTCTAGGACTCATCGGTGATGCTGGGTGATGACAAGTTGGACAACATAATTCCTCTAAACCTCTGTTACAACAGGAGGTGATGTGCGTACAATTCCTTAGTTTATGAACTTTAAAATTTAGATATCGAGAAGAATCGATTTATTACAAACAAACTTATTAGTAAAGTGTGTATATCAAAACCGTCTAACGAAGCATTTCAATGATAATCAAATAATTAAAATAACGTAATATATAGATTTATCTATTTTCTCATGATCAGAAACGAAACAACGAATTAAAATGTTTAAAGAAACATGTAATAGAACATAACGTAGAACACGGTAAACGGGATAAGAACACGTGCTGGACACATTGTGGAGTTTTATCCCAATGCCAGTGGTTTTGAAATATATATCTATTTCGCGCGAAGTTTTTTAAAAATATGCCGCACGAGTAATTCCACACAGCGATAACCTCATCTTTACAGTATATTTACAGTACAAATCAACGGAACTTAGTAGTAATTATCAAAGGAGTGGTGGGCTATATACAGCGATTACGTTATGTAACTAGATGTTCATGCCAGCATAAGTAAATAAATTTCATTTGTCCAGAAGAAATTATCATGAAAAGCGACAGTAATTAGATTGCATTCATAAGGTTATCATGCTTAAATATGGGTTACAGATAACTTTCTAGTGTGCATGGTGTGTTTAGTGAATCTGGCATCTACAACAGTGGCGTTTCATAAAGCATTGTGGTACCGACACCAGGACATGTGTCTTACATGTTTGACGCTCTGCTAAATAAGCCAAAGAACAACATTTCCTATAGCAGAAACTGTATTAATGGCCGATATTGATTCAGGGATAAACACATAAAAACATTGAAAAAAAATAAAAAAAATATGCCTAAACAGAAGTATATATTTGTTGTAATGAAATCAAAGGAAACTTTCCCGTTAAAAATGTGGTAATATTTTTGTAATGCTTTTCAATGTAAACAACATTAATGGAGGCATCGATTTGATGAAGTGGACTTACATAATTATACACCATTTGATATATATACACAGTACTAAATGACATTTTCGACTAAGAACTAGAATCCAAGACACAGTCTGAAGTGTACAGTATTGGATAGTTTCTGAAGCTGGATGAGTTAAATGATGGCATTTTACTATTATAATATGTATTGGTGTTGGACCTCTCCTCATGGTCATGAAATCTTCTGTTATTAAAGAAAGTCAGTAATGTTAGTGTAGAGGTTTGTGATGTTATAAATGTATACTACACACTGCTATGGTATACCTAAGTTAATATACGTTATGGTTTTGGAAACTTCTGATATTTCTGCATCTATTGTTCCTGACAATGAGACATTAATTACGTCTGAAGAAAATCTAACGGAGCAGAGTATGTCGATGAGTAATAAAGACATTGAAACCCTTGAGTCTTGACGATGGGTTGGTTTGTGCTAGCGATCGTTTTTCAAGAAGCAGCCAACTCTTAAACCAGGGGTGATCTCCTAATGTAAAAGCATTGAAATAGACATATATGTAGACATAGGTAATCAGTTATTTATTTACTAATGGGTTTGCACTCAAGTACAAAAACGTCATTTTGTCATTATGCTTTATTACCGTTATGTTGTGTTTTTGGCAGTAAAGTTTGAGCTAGTTTGGGGGTTCCTCTCGCGTGATACAGTTTCTTTGGTTTTCGATACGAACGTAAGATAAACGATTTATATTTTACATTGTACACTGTTGAGCATTATCAAGAGATCTATCTCAATATCAATATATGTGGCTACATGAACCTATGCAGTTTCAACACGCAAAAAGATCTTACTTCTACTAATCTTCATTGGAATTTTTGTATCTGTAGCCAGCTATTAAAATGTATATTAAATGGTGTATCGACGCCCGAAACCCGTACAAAGCACAAAGAACCATGGGATGAAGTCTGATCTAGTATGAAAATTACAAAAAACAATGAATTTTAAATCACTTGTGTTGTATCCGGACTAAATCAAAAGCATCTTTCAAATTAAGGAAACAAGTACTCTGTTTATCTGTAAAAGGCGAAATGTTCATACATTGTTTTGACGTGGTTATTTTTATGAATAAACCATGGAGCTATATTCACATAAATAAAACTTCCGTTGTGATAGACAGATTGAACGTGATGCCACAATTATCTTTGAACTTTGACCTGCTTATAATTACAGCTATATGTATATCAGAAACGTAGCTGTGGACTCTTTAACTAGCTGCCAATACCTTATTTTTCACAATTGATGTCCTCGGCTATCGCCGTATTAACGTGTCACGATATTGTGAGAACTGGGCGGTTTCTACACCGTTGTCATCCAAGCAATCTAAGCGTTGCCTCGACTTCTTGTTTTGTTTCCCTATCTGTAACCATCACTCCCAGTTCAGTGTACCCAAAGTACATGGTTACATCGTAATATCTGTCACGTACCCTGCCGTCACGATTGTTTATTTCGACAACTCCAAGTTTTGTACATTCACCTCCGCCCAAGTAAACAAACATTGGAACTTCCTTGCAATTTGACACGTACACTTTGATTTTGCCATTGCCTAAAGAGTTCAGCATTCGACATATATTGTTCTCAGATGTCTTGTCTGGAATTACCGTACGGAAATGTTGTCAAATAAAAATCAACGCAGATCGCAGTAGTGTTCGTAGCGACATTGCACATTTTTACATAGGGGTATTGGACAATGCATATACATTACTCATCAGAAGCCAGTCTGCAGCAGTCATTTTGCGGAAGATGGTGACCTTTCCCCCATCTTCAAGAACACCATTAAAATATTCAATTAAACAACCTTCATTGTGGTCCATATATCAGAACAGAAATTATTATAGCCCGAAATGACTCAGCAAATGATAGGCCATGATTTAGATAGGTTCGGAAACTTAACATCGAATAACAGAAGTGTCTATATATATAGGGACAAATCTAATACAATACTGCTATCAATGGGCAATAGTTACATACAAGTGAGCGTCACAGTATTGATTATATTATGTATATCTTACCTGCTATAGCTTGTGCCGACAACAGAGTGTTTATGGGTTGAACGTTCATGACAGTAAAGAGTAAATTCATATTATAACAAATGTTAAACTTGAACCGAAAGAGGAAGAGCCCTTACATATACAGCTACAAATAGTGTGTGTTATGCAGATAACAATGATACTTGTGCTTTAAATGGTACCTGTCATGGTATGTATGTATACTGTAACAGGTATGCCATTTGTTTTATGTACTATTTACATGTGCATGTATCGAGAACTCTTAAAACACGTAACGTCACATAAGCAAAACCACACTACCAGCAAAACAGAGTATAAGTACATGTATATTTAAAGTATAGTGCCAGACAAACGTTACAGACAATGTGTCTATTAGTCTTACCTTGGTTCGTCTGTTAAATCTATGTTTACGAGTATACGCCGACAGACTGATCAGACAAACGTTTTAACTTGAGTGACATAATTCTGAAGGTTATAGATCACGATTCTATTAATAGAAACATAATCGATGTCTTCTTATACACGGTTAACATACACCGGGCATTCCGATACCTTTAATCGGAATAGGAACAAAAAACGCAGTCAAAGAAGTGTTTGGAAAATTTACTTGGAAAATTATTTAATTTTTTAGTTTAATCAACTATTATCTAAAGAGTGATAATTAGTGTACATATCCGTGAAATGTGGAATAGAAAGGATCGCAACGGATTTAATTGATGAGACATTGAAATTTTACACTGTTTATTTTTGGTAATATTTACGGCTTTTTACGGCTTGTCACTAAACAGCAGCTTTAAAGAAGCTATAATACAAGTTAGAGATAGATTATAAATGTTATTAAGAAGATATGCGATAATTATTTATAAATCAACCCTGCGCCTGGTGAAATGAGTAGCAGTCGGGAGAAGCTTCTCGTGCTATTATACTGATCTCATCAGGCGCAGGGTTGAAGCCATATTTACGTTGTTATTATGCATATAAGCGAATATCACGAGATATCACGAGAGAAGAAGGTCAGCAGGACGGCAACTTTAACTATAACATGATGCCCAATGGGCCTGCATCGCTCACCTAGATTTAATCTCACACTTGTAACCTTAAAAGTGATCTAAAATAAAGCTATAGGCAAAATATCAGTATTTACAACTATGTCATTCAAAAGAACATGTTAAAAGATTTAAACACAGTTGACCCCTGTCACCTTCAAAGTCGAACAAGGTAATTAGGTTGAACAAACTGTATTGCCCTTCATCTCAGCATGCAACTGGCAAAATACCATCACCCTAGACATTTTGTTTATTGAGATTAGGTCATTTAAATGTTCATACATATTTATTTGACTAAATGTAACAATGAAAGTGGGTCAGGTCAAGGTCATTCAAATGAACCAGGAAGCCATCAGCCTAATATGAAGATTCTATACCTTTCAGTTCTTCAGAAGAAGTAATTTGATGTTTTTGACATATTTGACCCCTGTGACCTTGAAAGAAGGTTAAGGTCATTTTCATTCTCGAACTTTGCTGGGCTCTATCTCAGGAAACCATCAGCCAAATATGAAGATTCTATACCTTTTAGTTCATCATAAGAGGTCAATTAAAGAGTTTGACATATTGGACCCCTGTGACCTTGAAAGTAGGTCAAAGTCATTTTCATTCTCAAACTTTGTTGCGCTCCTTCCAAGGAAGTTACCAGCCAAATATTTAGCTTCTATACCTTTCATTTCTTCAGAAGAAGTCGTTTTAAGCATTAGACATATCTCACTCCTGTGACCTTGAAAGTAGGTCAAGGTCATTTTCGTTCTCAAACTTTGCCGGGGTCTATCCCAGGAAGCCACCAGCCAAATATAAAGATTATATACCTTTCAGTTCTTCATCAGAAGTCGTTTTAAGTGTTTGACACATTTTACCCCTGTGACCTTGAAAGTAGGTCTAGGTCGGTTTCGTTACCAAACTTTGTTGGGCTCCATCCAAGGAAGATGCCAGCCAAATTGCAAGATTATATTACTTCCAGTTCTTCAGAAGAACTTGTTTTTAACGTTTGACTTATTTGACTGATGTTACCTTGAAAGTAAGTCAAGGTCATTTACATTCTCAAACTTTGTTGGGCTCCATCCCAGGAAGCCATCAGCCAAATATAAAGATTCTATACCTTTTAGTTCTTCAAAAGAAGTCGTTTGAAGTTTTTGACATATTTGATCTTGAAAGTAGGTCAAGGTCATTTTCGTTCTTAAACTTTGTCAGGCTCCTACCAACAAAGCTTTCAGCCAAATATCATGACTCTAGGCCTGTCCGTTCTTCAGAAGAAGTTGTTTAAAGGAAACAAGAGGCCCAATGGGCCTGCATCGCTCACCTGGTATAAAACTCGCACTTGTAACCTTAAAAGTGATCTAAAATCAAGCTACAGGCAAAATATCAGTATTTATGATTAAAAGTCGAACAAAGTCATTATGTTGAACACATTGTATAGCCTTTCATCTCAGGATGCAACTTGCAAAGTATCAACATCCTGGGACCCATGGTTATTCAGAAGAGGTTGTTTAAAGATTTTAAACAAATTTGACCCCTGTGACCTTGAATATAAGTCAAAGTCATTCACTTTAACAAACAAAGTAGTCCTTGATCCCAGCATATGCTACTGACTAAATATCAACATCCTGAGCCTTTTGGTTATTCAGAACAAGTTGTTGAAATATTTTGAACATATTTGCTCCTTGTGACCTTGAATATGATTCAAGGTCATACATTTA